TGAAGCTGGCCAATCAGAGACCATATGCAAATTTCCTTCTGTCATGCCCCGTTTCTGCCATGAACCCTCTTCTCCACCAGGGGCTCCTATTGAAGCTGGCCAATCAGAGACCATATGCAAATAGCACCACAGCGGCAGCCAATCAGAACGCTGCCACATACACCGCCCTCCCACAATTCCTCTGTCCGATACAAACACTCTTCTTTATTATATATATAGATATAGATATAGATATAGATATTTTTATATTATATGGATACATGCATGATGGAAAAGGCTTCATAAGGCTGATGTCTTTAGAATGGTATTTAAATGAATCATACCAAATATTCACTGCTATCTTTATCATTGTTTCATTGTATGCACTGTATCACTTTGTGACAAAGCACCTCTAACATACCAATATCTGTTTTCCTTTCACTGATTCGGTAACTCATTGTTCTGGTATTAGATGGATTATTACTATATCTCCATGAGTTGTGGTGTTATCATTGTTATTGTGTTCAATTCCTGGTCATATTTTTGGTGTTACAAAGATTAAGATTAAGTCTCAAGTCTGAAATCAATGGGTTGTAAATTCTCAAGTTTAGTATAACTTAACATCACATGAGGAAAAAGAGGACACATTTTCACATTTCTACATTAATCAGCTGCCGGCAATGACTACATGTAATTTATACCTAATTTTTTTAGCAGACACAACCCCAACAAAACTATTTAATTGACTTGGATATGCATATTGTGATTGTTTTACTCTGAAACATCGAGCCCTGAAGAGGTCCACAAGATAGAGTTTCTTCATAAACTAAAACGAGTGTAATGACTACTTTGAAACTGTGATCAGAAATTTTGAGCAGTTACCAGAACAAGTAAAATGATAATTATATTTTGTTTGTTGTCAGAGTTGGTAGATTTGGAAGGTAATGATTTTGAGAGTTCTTTTTGAAGCAGAAAGTTTTCACTATTTTCTTTTGTGGCCATAAATATACTGCTCTATATTTAATTGCTTCAGTATTCTATTTTCACCAACTCATGGGATTTTCTACACTTCTCTTTATAGCTTCTATAATAGCCTGCATTTCTTAACACTTATTGATATTTCTTCACTCCATTAACTTGCTCTTTCAAATTATTCAAACTACCAACAAATGGCTCTTCAGCATAAATCCCAGCTACTCGGTGGAATGTTTTCCATCTAACTTCACAGACAGCCAAACTGTCTATTGTTACTTACACCCTGGACCCTCTTGAAGCAGAAATGTCTTTGAAAAGTAGTGCAAGAAACTGTATATTGAATCCAACTTTAGCTCCAGCTTGAGTAGAGCCTTTGAAATGAACAGGGTGTTTCCAGTCAATATTAAAGTAAATGCTATTCAGTTCAGTGATTCTACTCTTTTTCATGTTGTTTATTTGTTCAATTGCCTCCGACTCTTTGCTCCCTGTCGGCCGTGGCCACCCCCAGCTCCTTCCAAGTCAAACCAGTCACCTCAAGGATACCATCCCTCCATCTTGCCCTTGGTCAGCCCCTCTTCCTTTTCCCCTCCATTTTCCCCAGCATCATTGTCTTCTCAAAGCTTTCCTGACTTCTCATTATGTGGCCAAAGTACTTCATCTTTTCCTGTATTATCCTTCCCTCCAATGAACAGTCAAGCTTTATTTCCTGAAGTATGGACTGGTTGGATCTTCTCATGATCCAAGGCACTCTCAGAACTTTCCTCCAGCACAACCATTCAAAAAGTCTATCTTCCTTCACTCAGCCTTCCTTATGGTCCAACTCCATAGGTTACTACGGGGAATAACATTGCTTTAACTATGCAGATCTTCGTTGCCAGTGTGATGTCTCTACTCTAGTTGGCACTAAAATTGGATTTAGCCTTGTGTTCTTCTGAAGAATTATACATATCCTAAGTTTATTATCAAAAAGTTATTAGTGCCTAATCTATATTCTGAAATAAAACTTTCTCCACTGAATACAAGCAAATTAATATTCTTTATTTATCTTCAATACACTATGATATGCTATATTTATACTTCCTATTTCTTTTAATTAATTTGCAGCTATGGCTGAACTGGATTGGGAAAGTAGCAAACCAACAACTCCAAGTGTCTTAAAAGAATTGGAGAGTCCATCAGGTGATACATACTTTTTTGTGTTCGTACTCCTGTTGCTTTGAATGTCATTTTCCTGCTTCTTGGCAGGGGGTTGGACTGGATGACTCTATGATTCTATGAACAGTGACCAGCATGTAGTTTTCTTACAATGGAATACAATTGTTGATATTTTCACACAACTTGGCTTCTTTAGTCTAAAACAGTTTCTGCTTAGAAAAGAAAAAGAATCAATCATACTCCTATGAACTTTGCTATGGAGAAACATAGAAGCTACATTGGCACAACGTTACTCAGTATGAGCAATGTAGGACAACAACATTTTTGATACATTATGATATAATTATTGCTGCTATATTTGTTGATTTGGAGGCTTGTAGTGCTGATAAACAAAGGATCTTAACTGTTTTCCACCTTGCTCTGAATATGAACTGAAATTTTCAAAATCTTTTAAAAAGTTTTGCATGCTTCATGTGTTTATAAAGAAATTTTGAAGTAGTCTTGAATTGTATAAATTCACAATACAACCCCTTTTATTTAAAATTTAGTCCCATTTTGTTTAATGGGATTTTCCCCAAGTAATTGTGTGTAAAATCACTTCAGTTCCTTTTGTATGCCTTTTTTGGTGCTTCTTTAGTTGTAAGAGCTTTGCAAGAGACTTAATATATCATTCTGTGCTGTTAATCAAAATATTTCTTTCGCTATAGCAAAATATATCATGACTGTGGGAGTAATGGGATAGAAGACAAAATGTTGCCTTTTTTGCAATTCTATCCTCCTCATTCTGTCCTGTAGCATTCTTTGTATGTTATATAAAGAAAGGATATGAACTTCTTCTTCTTTTAGCACGCACTAACAGTGAACTGGAAGCTTCAAAACATAGTGTAACTCCAATGGCTGAATTGTCTCCTGACATACTGGGTAAATAAATATTTTTAATGGTACTTCAATTGCAGATTTGGGACTACTGGAGACCAATGCTCTTGATATGTTGGGTGGAGGACTGAATATACATTGGAGATATATAGATCTGTTTATTAATTAGTCCACTAACCATATCAACAATAAAAAATATACAGACAAATAGAAACTAATCACCATGCCAAAACTCCTGTAATAGTTAACTAAAATAAATTAAAACACAATAAAACTTAAATAATAAATTTGCTAAAATGGGATTAAATTACAAGATGAAAGTGGGGGAGTAGAGTGGGGAGCATAAAAGGGTCAGTCAGAGAATTTAGATAAGTTCATCACCATGACAAGGGACCCCATTTTGTGAGATCTCTCATGTTGTACGCCTTTTATGATAAATTTGGCTATGTAGCAGACTAAGTGTAGACTCTCCCCAGAAAGAAAATAAGACAGTTTGACAATTGGTTCACAGTAGGTTGTTCTTCCCACTGGCTGGTTTAAAAATAGACCTGCAGGTAAATAAAGTGAGTTGGGGCCACACATCAGCAGCTGGAAGGAGTCAAGGTTTGATTGTACTGGATGGCCACCTTTACCATACCCATCATATCTCAGGTGCAAGATTGGTAGTGGTCATCACTTGTTACACGTACTGACATTGGCCAGAGTATCAGAGCGACATAGAAGAGGAGAAAGGAAAAGAGTATATTTCACCCTCCTTCCCCCTTCCCTCATCATTCTAGTATTCCAGTCAGCATCAGTAGATGCAATGTGTGATGACCACCAGTAGTTTTCTCACCTTATGGTTACCACTAAGCCAAGGACACGAGACAGATTATAAGTGCCATCCCCTGTCCCTGTGTTGCCCAAGCCTTGGGAAAGCAGTGTGGCTATGTAAACAGCCAGTTCCTACTCATCACTTTGCCACAATGTGCAGGTGAACCCATACCCCCACTCTACCTCATTTGGCCATGTGGATGGGCCCTTAAAGTAGAATATTTTGACTGAATTAAGTATTCATAATACGATAGAGCTATAAGTCCCATGAAGGTGATGACTCTGAGAAGTTAATATGAAGCAACAATTAATATATATAAGGGAAATATTGAATTAAAAAATTATATATGTTCTTGTATATTTTTGGCCTAAATTCAGTTGTTAGTTCAATCGAGATTTTGAACATTCCATTGATTCAACTAATCTATTCTAATTGGGATAAGCAAATACTTTCATTTGGTTGCTTTAGCATAGTGGGATAAATCCAATATTAGTCTTACCTAAAGTAAATCTAGTGAAGTAAACGAGACATAGAATGCACCAGTAACTTTGGTATTGGATTGAAATGTTAGTCTTTAAAACAGGGCTAATGTTGGTTTTGGCACAATAAAATAGCCCAGTATAATATTGAAATCTATTATATACATACCCTTGGCATTATAAATTCTGTTTACAATGTTCAGCACATTGTTTCAGAAAAGTATTTTGTATTGTACAAGTTATAGCTGTATCATTTTTTAAACTTTATATATAGAATCAATAACAGCAGGAGTAGTACTGCCATCATTATAGATACCTAAAAGCAAAAGACTAAATCTACAAACAAAGAATATGACTGTGGGAAATAAATTTGAGTACTATAGTTTTTTTTAACTTAATATATGCCACTCTCTGTTTAAATAATAAGGTATTACACTAAATATAAACAGAAAAGTACAGGGATTTAAAATGAAACATGTACTTCTTTTTATTGCTGACATTGGGAAAGAAATGGAATCTAAGAAAACTTAAGAAAGAATTGGCAACAATTCAAAACAGATTAGATAAATGAGTTGGTTGTTTCTTAGTTTCCATGTATAGTTTGACCTAGTAATAACATAACAAATATCTGCAATGTTTTACTGAAATTATCTTTTTATGTAAGTTACTTGACAAGCAATAATTTACATTCATTTGTTCGATTTCCTTTTGTTTATAAATGTTATTTTTATGTGTAAAATATAATATCAAAAAGTATTTCTGCTTTTATTTCTGATGCAATAGTGCTAAGCAATGCCAACAAAGATGTTGTGAACCTAAAATGTGCCAGAAATCTATAGAGAAGAGAAGAAAGAAAAAAATGTTTAAAAGAAATTTGTGACATTGTGAAGGCCAGGGAAAGTGTGCAGTAATAATAATAGTGGCTACAACAATAACAACAGCTATATATCATGGTCATTTGACACTTTTGAAAGTCAAAATTGTCCAAAAATACATAACTGATTCCTAGATTCTTGGAGAGAATTTAAATCATTGATGGTATAAAATCAGTCAATAACACCAGATTGTGAAACTGCCGAATAACAGCAACTGCAAACCACCCCTGAGCCACACATATCTATTATCCTCTTATTGTAGCTTCAATAATGCCAATAAGCAAACATAATAATAATAATAATAATAATAATAATAATAATAATACACTTTTATTTATACTCCACTACCATCTTGGGACTTGGAGAAGATTAAAATAGCACACAATGGTGCCACACAACATTTAAAAAAACAGTATATCTACATTAAAACCAATAACGTATTTAAAACCAGAAATATAAAATTAGCAAGAGCAATAGAGTCAATCAAATATGACAATAGCCAATGATTAAAAGATCCATTAGGATGAGCTAACTCTTGGTTACTATTAATGATTGCTTTTCTTCATCATCATTGGTATCTTTGTGATTTCAAAGCCAGATTCTCATAGGAACAGAGGCACCATGGTCACAACTCAAAAAACAGTTAAGCACAATTAATATAATTGAAATACATAATCTCTAACATAAGCAACTCTGTTGGATTGTGCAAAAGTGGTTTTTGAATTGCATTTATACAAAACAAATGTCATAGTTTTTAAAAAGCCACTTTTAAATTCTTTCCTGCCAAGAGTTTCTCTTTCTATGCTTTTGAAAGGTAATACAATGAACTGTTGCTTTCTTGATACTGAACAGGGGAATTCTCCTTTGTCTAGCTACTGAGAAATTACTCAAATCCAATCCAGCTGGAATAAAAAATACTAAAGTTGGGTTGTTGTTTTTTGGAGAAACACTGTCTTACTCCCAATGTTGCTTCTCCAAGACAACAGAAGTTGTGCTATAGTGTTAACATAAATTCACCAGGGATCCACTTCTCTCTAGGTCACTCTTTAGATCAGGAGAACAGAAAGTACAATCCATGGGCTGCATACCACCTCCACTTTACACTTTTCTGGGTTTCCACAGTCACTCTCTGAATTGTTCCCCAAGCCCAATTTTCCTTAGAATGATTTTTGGGAAAGTTTTGGTTTGATAATTCTGCATCCTTTGATGCATCAAAATGCAACATAACTTTCCACACTCTCAAAGATGTCCATACCGCCTAATATTGGTTGTGCCATAGCCAAAATCTCAACCAATAGTGACACATCATCACTTCTGTTCACCATTTTGGCAGGAGGAGGTATGAAAAACAATATGCAGATGGCTCAAAAATTTTAAAGGAATGTTTTCTTATACTTTATAAAGCAATAACTATGAAAGCCACAAGTAAATCTGTGATGCAGACCTCAAAAGATTCACTATTAATGTAGCTGAATTACACATTCTTAGTAGAAACCAACACAGAAGAGTTTCAATTTATAGCAAATGATTTATTATTTACAAAAAGCAGCAATAATATTAGGTTTAAAAAGGGAATAATTACATCTTTCAAAACTATCATCATCTTTTTGAAACTGTATAGTAAGAGTCAATATGCAGCGGGTGAACACATGCAGAAGCCTGGATGCTTCACACGTATGCTGGCTTTCCTTCATTGAGCTTTGCTTTTCTGCTTCCTTTGGATCTGGTGAAAGTGAGGGCGGATCCAGACAGGCCTTTATCCCAGGAGAATCTGCATTTTAAAAATGCAGATTTTTCTGGGGGGCCTTTCCACACCCACCCCAGAAAAAGTACGCTTTATGGGGTGGGTGTCCAGATGTTCTCCTGGGACTAGCCCAGGAGAACTTCTGGAGACCCTACCCCCTTCCCCAAACCCCCAGATCCCTTAGAAAAGTAATGAAAACTTACCCGGCCTCCATTGCAGGCTTTGGCCAGCTCTCCTGGTATATAAAAATGATGTGCAAGGAAAGCAGGGGGAAGCAATTTTCCTCTCGCATTCCTCCTCCCCCCCCCCCCCCCCCCCCCCCCCCCCCCCCACTGCTCTCCTGGCACATCATTTTACTGGCCAGGAGAGCTAGCCAAAGCCTGTAATGGAGGCCAGGTAAGTTTTCATTACTTTTCTAAGGGGTCTTGGGGCTTCAGAGGAGAGGGGCTGGTTTACCAGGCTTATTTAGTCCAGTAGACTGTGAGAATAGTGTCTGGACTGTAGTCCAGTGTCTGTAGTCCAGACACCAGAAATAGTGGGTTTATCCCACGCCTTCCAAGGAGGCGTGGAATAAATCCACTATCTTATTAATTCACTACAAACCAGGGTGTTCCAGAACATTGTCTAGACAGCCCCTCCTTTATTGGGGTAAATACCTTCATTGTGGTAAATACCGCAATGAAGGTACTGTCTGGACAGGCCCTTAGCTGACTGATTAAGTAAAGAAACATACATCCACAAACATTGAAATACAGAGATGAATAAAACTTTGTACCATTACACAAAATCACAAAGTTGAAAGTTTTTCAAATTTGAGGTACTTTTGTGTTGGATTTTTCATGTTTTCTTTCTTCTAACTTCTAGCTCCATACAAGTTTCCAGAATTTCCCAAAACAAAAACACCCCCTACCTCCCCAATGTCCACTGAAACTTTAGGTAATAATGATTTTCTTTTTTGAAAATACCTTTTTAAAATTTCTTGAAAATAATGACATTAAAGGCACATTGTGATAGTAGTATTTATTTTTGGTTTTTCATGATTTATGGAAATTGATGATTCAGCCAATTAATACTTTTCAAATATCTTTCCATTATTCGTAAAATTGTTTCCTAGAAAGCCCACTATAGGTACGGGCCTTACAAATAGACTTCTTACAAAATGATCCAGTGACCTCAATAAAGACCTGGCCATTTCTTTTACTGTAGCTTCACATGAAATAGAGTCAGTCTCTTCAGAATCCCAAACACCTGTTCCAAAAGGCACACGGACAAAGCAAGGTAATTATTCTCTCCCCTGAAGCTGCATTTGAACATTGCATTTTGATGTTAAAGCAGGTTGGGACTTATGATAAAGAACATTTTGTATCTAAAATCTGAATCTTTCATGTGTAAATGCATGTGAACGTTTTACCAGAGTGGCTGATCCAGAGTGTCAAATTCTAAATGGTTTTTATTACAAACCCCAGGCTGCTGTGGGTAAAGGTTTTGATCATCAAACAGTGCCAAATTTGGTGCTGCTGGAAAACCACAGTTGTCATTGTAGCAGCGACCTCCAGGTGTGATATGGTTGGTGGCCATCATTCATAACCTATAGTGATGTCAGCCCGGGTACCAGAGCAACACAGAATAATGGAGGGGGGACAGAAGGAATCACCCCCTACCCCCTTCCTTCTCTGATTGCCCTTGCACATTGGCCCACGTCATTCCAGATGGCCACCAGTTATATCACACTCAGAAGCTTCCTCTATGATGAAAACAGGAGGGAGTTTATAAATGTCCTCCTGTGTCCCTGGGCCATTCGAACCCAGGGAATATGGGATATGTAAAGAGTTGTGGCCAGTCCATCTCAGAACTGGCCCAAATGTTTACATGTACCCAAAGTCAAGGTTTGCTCCAGATTCTCAGGGAAAATTCAGAGCAACCAATACTTTTATTAATGCAGTTCACAACCATTTCAAGCAAGATTGGCCTGTGTTAACTTGAATCAGCTTTGTGCATTATGTAGCTGCAATAGAGCTGATTCATCCTCAGGATAAAGGATGTATACACATAGTAAGAGATGTTTGACAATGCAATTAATTACCTAGAGAGATGATGGTATCTTTTTTTATGGATTTCTTCAAAGAAAGATTAGGATGCTATATGAACTAGGTACCCTACCTGGACTTTCCACTTTGAGGGCAAGTTGAACTTGATGAAATTGGGGCCCTTTCCAACTCTATGATTGTATAACATAGCTTGACTTCTACCTAAATCTCTGGTTTGATCTCATCTATATCTATGTTTTAAATGGAACTTATTTAATTTTTCCCCACCCTATTTCTTGGTATCTCTGACAATTTTCCTTATCTAACACCATATAAGAGTCAATCTCCTTTTAAATATTGTTTTCATATAACCACTCCAGAGCTTTCTCCGTTTGGTGTAGTTTTAGGATTCATTTAGATATTATTTTTAATCTGTTTTCATATTTTTCTATAAAGCAAACAGTGCCATTAGTAATCATTCTAATAGTATTTGGAAAAGATAATTCATTTCCTATCATTTATTTATTTATTTATTTGCTGTCTTCATACCCCGCCTTTCTCAACCCCATAGGGGACTCAAGGCGGCTTACATATATAGGCAACAATTAGATGCAAAAACACACACAATAGAAACATTAGCATTAAAACATAATAAACCTTAAAACCAATTATTTAAAAAATTATTATTACATGGCATTCACATACTGAAAATTGTAATGCTAAAATAATGTATCCCCATGCATGCTTGTAAGTCAGGATGAGTTGATCTAATTTTAGCTTGATAATTACGTATGGATATTTGTCTTTCTAATGCTACAGTTTTAGTCAGGGAGAAATATATATTGAATATTTCCATGGTTGAAATTAATAATATTGTCATATTTCTCAGACATGATTTGGTATCTTAAGACCTTCCATTTCCTTCTAAAGAAAAATTCTTAGTAGATGCAATAGGAAATGCAGAATAGTCAATAGAAATAGAAAATCCATGCAGAAAAATTCTCAGTCTGAAATGGTTTTTTAAAGTACATTTTTGACAATGAAAACTTGTTAGTTCAACAGATTATTGGGGGTTTGAAGTATTTTATTTTGCTTTTTATCCACACATTTAGATGTGGCCTAATTTTAAAAGATCTTAGAGTCTCTTGTCAAAACATGTCAATCTCCCTTTGTTTTCTTTATGGAACACATTATTACATTTCCTATTCATTCATTTATTCCAGGACACATGGGGAACACACGTAATTTACTGCTCCAACACTGCCCATGATTTTCTCATTTTCTATAGTTTTCTTGTCTGAACTTGTTGACCAATATTCTGTTTTCTTTTTTAAAACAAAACACTCTGAACATGCTATCCCATTTACTTTAGATGATTTCACACTGTTGGTTATTCACCTTTCTGGTATTATAAAAAGATATTATTTTTGTACAGCTGTCTTGACTTTGGTATTTCAAATTAAAGTGTAAAGCAAGGCATATCTTTCTAAGTTTTCCAGGGAAACATTAATTTAAAAGACCTGCTCAGGGAAACATTAATTTAAAAGACCTGCTCAGGTGTGGAAATTCAGTATTATACAAAATGAATGCTGGCTTCAAAGCAGAAAGTGATTAGATTTCAAGGAGAAACAAAGAAACAAAAACAGACAAAATTACAGAGGACCGTGTAATGTCTTTAAACATCTTGAAAACAAATGAACAGCAAAAAAAAGTAGTCTTACTGGTAAAAAATATGTCATGACTGAGTTCTGTATGGAAAGAAAGTCTTCTACAAGAGCACCAACTGGACATGAAGATCAGTATGAGAGTCTGAAAAAAGAGCATAGACATCATTTATGTGATGCCTAAATCAACATTGCTGCTCTGAATAATTCTTGGGGAATCCGATAATAATGTGCCCAAACACAGGTTCTCATACAGCATGGTCCAAGTTTTCTATTACTCTGAATGAAATACAGACATAAAGTCAGGCAATGACCACAATGATAATTGTAATTTATTGCCATTAATAGCTCATTGTCCTTAATATGCTAAAGTTTGCCATTTCACATTGTAGTGAATAGTACACTTTGAATAAAATGTCAAAATATGAAAAAAATTACATATAGGCAATATTACTATTTTTATATGTCACAAACTTTTCAAAATACTCTTCAAATACTCTCCAAATCCACCTGAGCTGGATGGACATTGTAACATCTCCAATGGATGTTTGCATGTTGTAGGGGACAGTGAATACAATCAGGTGTCCTTCCAAGACATTGGAAGGTGTTCTGAAGACAATTAGTAAGCCTGAATTGGCTCCAGTCTTTCTTGAAGTCTTGCCCACTTTTATTGATCATTAAAGAATTCCTGATAAGCTTTAAAGGAATCACAGAATTTCCTGAAGTACACCGAAGTTTCACAAGACTTAAACATCATCATAGATCATAATGGAAATGTTTGAATTTAAACTTTTTCCAGATAATCATTTAAAGACGCATCAGAATTCTGGAATTAAGCAGAGATTCCACATTTTTCCAACCATTATACAGCAACTGTTCTAATGTTAAGCACATCTGAATGTGAGCAGTGAACTAACTCTAGTTGTTCAAGCAAACATCTTGCACGTCTTGTAAATTTGCTCCAATAGACCTTCTAGTGATATGAATCAAAGAATCATAGAATCAGAAGAGTGGAAGAGACAACAAAACCAATATAATCCTGACATCTGAAGATTTAGCCTCTGTTTTAAAACTTCCGGAGAAGGGGACTCCACCACACTCCAAGGCAGCATATTCCATAGTAGCCTGTAGAGAAGAGGAAGATTTAAACTGCCAACCACATTCATTTACTCTCAAACTATTATCTCTAACTGTTGATTATAATTTAGTGTCTTAATGTCAGGCTCCCTGTGAACTCCACACACCCCATTTTAAACTCTGTACTGAAATTTCTAATTTTATGTGTCACAAACTTTCCAAAATACTCTCCAAATATTCTCCAAATCCTCCAGAGGTGGGTGGACACTGTAACATCTCCAATGGGGTGTTTGTGTGTTATAGGGAACAGTGGATACAACCTGGCGTCCTTGCAAGACATTGGAACGTCTTCTGAAGACAATTAGTATCCTGCATTGGCTCCAGTCTTTCTTGAAATCTTGCCCACTTTTGTTGTTCTCATTAAGGAACTCCTGATGAGCTTTAAAAGAATCACAGAATTTCCTGAAATACACCAGTTTCACAAAACTTTAATGTCATCATATATCATCATGGAAATGTTTTAATTTAAACTTAAACTTAAACTTAAAATGGGGAGTGGGGTGAGTTCCCAATGTTAGCGCCAGCTTCTGCCAACCTAGCAGTTCGAAAACATGCACATGTGAGTAGATCAATATATACTGCTTCTGCAGGAAGGTAACAGTGCTCCTTGCAATCATACTGGCCACATAAACTTGGAGGTGTCTACGGACAACGCCGGCTTTTCAGCTTAGAAATGGAGATGAACACCACCCCCCAGAGTTGGACAGAACTAGACTTAATGTCAGGGGAAACCTTTACCTTTGTTAATGAAATGGTAGGTGGAAATGCAATTTAAGAATTGTCAGGATATGCTTGTATGGGAACATGCAGAACTCCTGCTTGGAATTAATTCCAAAATTCTGAAAGGAAATCAAAATTATTATGCATTACAGGTGCATTTCTTTCTGAAATACTTATATATGAAATTAGTACTAGAATAATAGGGATCACCACAAATAGTGGGGACCATCAGTTGGGATACCGTATTTTATTCAAGGATAACCTGACAAGCACAGTAGCCAGCACACAATAACTAAATTTAAATGCTAAAGTGTTGCTAGAAACTTTTAATCTGTGGCATAGGTAGTAGCTATCTTTTACTCTCGCAGTTTTGTCCTTACATAATTCGAAGTTGTTTTCATTTTTTCTTCTGACTTGAAGCACACAAAGGCCTCTTTAGAATATGTTTTTCTTAGTGCAAATGATAGTTATTTGTTCCATTAATATACCACTTCCCTGTGCTGTCCTCGGTCTGAACCTTTTCTTATTATGGAGATACAAAGAGTTGTTTTGTTGTACTCTAATTCTGAGGAGTGGTTTTTTTTTTAGCCCAGGATTTCCATATGTGACTTGTTTGTGTTCTGCTTTAGGTGTTAATTGTAAAAAGCCAGCCAACTAACTGGAAAAACATCTGCATAAAATAAAAAATAGGACTAACTTTTCACTGGAAAGTATGTTAACCTATTAGAGGTGGGTTAATTTTTTAAAAAATATGATTATTGGACAAAGTTATTGACATCCAAACACATTTGAGGTGAAAAAGTATATTCTAAATAAATTAATAACACTGATACATAGTGCAAGATCTGCCTAAATATCATAAACGCAATTAACATGTTTCCCTGGCACTTTGGAGCAGATGGATCTGCAAAAAGTGAAACATTTTTACAGCACGTATCATTTAAAACAAAGGCCTTCAATAACACATACCGATTAAGCTTGATTTTTTCAAACTTGAAAGAAAAAGAAATCAAACTATAACTTTCCATGTAGGAATAGTACTCAATTTTGTTTTCAAGGGAGAAGCTGCCTCTTTAGTTTGAATATCTCAAATGCTCATTTGCTAAGATTTTGCAGTATGTAATTGTAGCTGGTAGAAGTCTCATCAAAACATTTTTAAAACATTTTCAACTCTTACACTATATTTTTGTAGAAAAAAATCACTAGCTGTTTTGGTGGCTTAAACAAAATAGTCACAAATGCAATTACTATAAATTTATTTTAAGTTTTCAGCAAAACACAACCTGCTCTTTCAAGGCCCAGAACATCTGATGAGACTGACATACCAGACTCCAAACGAGGTATATAATTGTCATCCTATAATTACAAATTTCAACTATTTCGCTTTTTTGGTAGCCCCATCTAAAGCACAACTGTTGAATCAACAGGACTCATATAAATGTTGTCTTCAGCAGTGGATTCAGAGATCTGCTTGAGGTGGGACTTGGACAAGAACCACTGATTTATCCCCTTACTATTTATTCTGAGCTGTAAGATGTATCTAAGCTTAAGGAGTAAATAATTCATTTGCCCATGGAGATATATTTTCCCTATCATCTGTTCCCTTTGTTCATTTCCTGAAATCTATTTAATATTGGAGATTTCTTGGAGCAAGACATGCCTACTTTTGACAACTACATTAGTCACATCATGTAGGTTGAGGATTCAGCATGGGTAAGAGCAACAACTGCACTACTAAATGTAAACCAGTTGAGTTATTAATTGGAGTAATTGTTTTTACTACCAAGATAACTCGCAGAATTATATATTTTATTATGTTATAAATGTTGTAACCCATATTGTTAAACAATCCTTAAATACAAGGGTAGCAGTGATTTAAAAATACATCATCAAAAGAACTAGACTGCTTACCTCCCAGCGTTTGTTCAAATCCACAAATGCTGTAAAATCCTTAATAGTATGTGACTGAATTGAATTACTGTACTTCATCGATAACACCTACTGTACTTATAATCAAGAAATCACTTCAGATTTTGTCCTGCAAGAAACAAATCAATAAGCTTATCTCGTGCAAAAACTTTATTTCAGGGTAGCTCTTTTTGTTTCTTATGCTTGTCATTGTCAATATTTCTTCTAGCAGTAACAAATGAACCCACACTGGAATCTCTCACACCTAAAACAGCTAAGCCTCTTGACTGGCCAAAGTCAACATTGGGTAATGTTGTTTTTCACTGTGAATGGTTATGCATTTCATGATTCATCAGAATCTATTTTCTTTCCATGTGAATTCATTTCTCCAGAACATAATCACCATCCTTCAGTACTGATCTTTATCCTGTTTCTGCCAAGTCATGGCTCATACCTTTACATTTCATTTGGAAGTTGCATGGATCATCTTTTCATTATCCATCACTCTTCACCGACATTTATCCACATCTGTCATTGTGTGAAAGTGTCACCTCCCTGGAATACTTCTTAAGATCAGTGTAAATGATTCACAGCTCCATCACTTCCAGCCATTTGGAATGCTGTCTTTATCATCACAAGCCTGCTGCATGTTCTGTGTATTTAAGAATATCTTGAATGAATCCTTTAAAATGTCAATTTTAACCTTAATCCTCTTTTCAGCACCACCTGAAACAGCATTCATTCCTTCTAAACAGAAACCTTCTGACACCCCAGAAGGAAAGCAGGTGAAACCTGGTAAATAAATCTGCAAATTTATGAATACAGGTGGCACAATAAATAAATGTATAAGCAGCCTTTTGGGACCTCAATATGATTAACACATTAATTTCATTTGTAGCTGTTTCTCCTTTGAGAATCTCAGGAACTAAGAATATATTTTTCTTTGCATATAGATTTCTTCAGAAAAGGAGCCACAGCCTATTCTGTGCGACTATACTGTGCAACTACACTGTGATAGGGGTTTTTGCTCTTTCCTTTTGTTGTTTTTGTTTCTGGTCAGGGGGGAGGATTCTGAGAAGAAAAATTGTGTATGCCGACATGACTATTGTCAGTTTCAATATTCCACCCCACTCTGCAACATAATATTCCCACTTTCATATTAAACATATACGTGCTATCAATAAATAGAAAATATTTCCCTTCTTGAAATAGTAACATTAATCTTTTTTCTGTTCAGTATTTCATTTCTTTTATTTTTGTAGCCCCTAATCTACCACCTTTGAAGCACAGTACTCCTAAAACTTCTAAGATTCTTGAAAAAACTACAGCTACACCAGGAGGTACTCCATAGTACTTATCTTTAATATTTGTTATTCTAATATCTAAATATTGTAGTCTTCATTGCTCATTAAGTGTCTCTTTATTTATTTTTTTACATAGGTATTTTTTCCTGATACAGAAACTATAGTAAAATCATATGTGGCTTTCTTTTTCCAGGTTCAGAAAGTTTCTTGTTAGTCATTTGAACAAGAATATTTAGGTCAGTGATATTTTGGCCTTCAACTCCCAGAAATCCTAACAGTTGGTAAACTGGCTGGGATTTCTGGGAGTTGTAGGCCAAAACACCTGGGGATCCACGGTTGAGAACCATTGCTCTAGAAACTCATTATAATATTCATGTTTACCTACATCCCATTGCCCCATGCAGATGAAAGAACATGCTGTTAATTAATTGGATCGTCCCCAACTCCATATAATATCTGATTAACACTGCAGTTGTTTCTGCACAATAACACTATTATTGTTTCATGATTACCAGATCCTATCCATATATTTATGTGTGTGTGTGTGTATAGATAGATAGATAGATAGATAGATAGATAGATAGATAGATAGATATAGATAGATAGATGAGTATTTATACATGGATTTTTATATAGCAAATGCAGCAGATTGAAAAAAGATTGTCATACAACATACTTATAAACCAAATAATAAGCTGGGTAGCAATTTTTCCTAAAAGCACCTTATTGGAAAAAGAACAAAAAGATAACTGTGTTTTAGCTGTTATATAAACTTCAAAAGGTTTATTCCTAGCACTGATACGGGTTTTTCATCAAATGCATTGTTTCACTTGCACTTTAGCTCATAGAATTCTAATTTCCTAGTGCGGAAAAGACAATAGAAAGCTAAAATTTTAATGCATCCTATCTTTCAGCTCCAGTGGAAACAAATGTCATTCCTTCTATACCTAAACCTTCTATCAGACCTAAAATGCCAGACATTAAATATGGTAACTACATTTCATGCCATGGATTATAATCAACATTCTAAACATGCATTTTATTAGTTAGCATATATAAAATATAGTTCCTCTAAATAAATGCAAAACAATTTAGCTGGGTTGGGAGGTTACTGTGGTTTTTTTGTGTACTAATCTACAATATTCATAACATCTTGGGATAAAATCACTTATAATAACAAAACTTCAATTGGAAACATTGGGGGGAGGGGGAAATCAGAAAGAAACAATTTTTCATTTCTTTTCCATAAAAAGGAGTACTTTACTGAGCCTGGACAATGGGAATAACTCTCATTTTACTCATCACTTATGTAAAAATGTCTAATCCCTCATTATTTATTGCTTTTTTCCCCTTTTTCCATTAGCAGAAAAAGAACATCAGTGGGAAACCACTACACATAAAACGTTTAAACCTGTTGAATTTCCAAGAACAACAAAGGGTAATAAATAATTAGGTTTACATAAAGTTATAGAGGGGGAATAATAGTTAAATGTCTGTGTGCCTACTAAATATACTCATGTATAAGTTGAACTAATGTATAAACCAAGGGCAGGTTTTAAAGGCTAAAATACAAATTTTGAAATGACCCATGGATAAGCTGAAGGCCTTTCTGCAGTGGGGATATGTCCATCCATCTCCATCCACCATCACCATTTTCCAACCAAAAAGGCCAGAAGTATGCCGTCGTGGTGGTGGTGGGGGGGGGGGGGAACCAGTGCTGCTTCTTTTAGGATAGGCTAAGATCTATTTATTTATTTATTTATTTACTTTATTTGTATACCGCTGTTCTCAGCCCTTAGGTGACTCACAGCGGTTAACAACAAGAACAGCAAAAATTCAATGTTACCATAACACGGTATAAAAAACAGTTAACATCATAACATATTATAGAAAAGTATACAATTAACAACAATATACAATTAACACCAATAGCCATTCGCTAGCGTCTCATCACTAAAAACATGAAGATCTAGCCTTTCTTCACTTTACTTAGAGATGGTTCCTTTTTTATAAGAGTTATAGTACAGTATTTATATTGACCCCAGGACTTTTTGGGTTGATTTTTAAATGAATATACTTCTTCCCTCCTCATTTCCGGTTTTGACTTTTGTGGATTTGATTAAAATGCTCTCTCTATTAAACCCTAGGTCCTCTATTATGAGGTTCAAGAGAATTCTAGAAAAAAATCCTGGGTTCTCCAATGTGATTCTGTGGTCAGCTTCCTGTGGAAGTTGGCCATAGAGTTGTGCTAGAAGACTAGAAATTCCTGGAGAGGGATGACTGTATATAGCATAATTATTTATTCCATCAGTGGCAGATGGTCATGCAGCTTCAATAGTGGAAAGATGATGACATAGTTGAATACAAGATGGAGACCTCTAGGTCTTATAAGGATAGAATCAGTTATCTCTGACTAACTCTGTTTGGTTGTTTTACTGCCTGATCTCCAGGACAGAAGGGAAAAAAATAGATTATATATTATGTAGCAGTAGACCAGTGGTTCTCAACCTGGGGTCCCCAGAAGTTTTTGGAATACAACTCCCAGAAATCCCAACCAGTTTACCAGCTTTAGGATTTCTGGGAGTTGAAGTCCGAAAACATCTGGGGACCCCAGGTTGAGAACCACTGCAGTAGATTCACACATGCTGCTAACTTGATTTGTACTTCTACTTTCTTAAAAGTTTTTCCTATATTTTTAAATGTTGGTTGGGATCCCTCATAACACCAATGAGGGATCATGTTGTTATCATACTTCCAGAATAAGGACACTATGTGTTTGTACTTCTGAATCTCAGAATTGTGTCTAATATTCACGATCTTGTGTTGTTCCCTGCACTGGATTGAGGCCTCTCAACAGAGTCCCAAGCCCTCTTTGTTTAACCTCAGATAGTACTAATCACATCTTTAGTATTTCTGGGAAGACAACCATGATATTTACAGGAAGAGAATCATGGATCACTGCACTTGCAGAATGTACAAGTGAACTAGTGATTTTGACTACTTTTTTAAAAGCACATACAACAAAGCATCAAATACCTTTTTAAGGCAACCAGCTCCCTCTGTTTGCCTAGCAGTTTACATACCTGTCTAATGGCTGGTGACATCTCCAGCTTTCACATCCCTGCCTGCCCACCACTGTACCTATGGGCTGTAACAGTCACAGGTTGACCTGTGCAGTGCTTTAAGAAGGATGCTGGGATTGGCCACTATTTGCCACTATTGGGCACTATTCTGCTAACACACTGGCCCATTTCCATCCTCCCTCTGAAAATTTCTGGCCAGCGAGCTACACACATATAAATATACTGATGAAGTTTTCTGCCTCTCCAAAATTAAATAGACTCTCAGGTGATAGAGTTTGTTTATGTTTAAACTGTTTGTGTGATCCTAAGGTGCTTTGGTGTATCATGCTGTAGATGCTTTTCTAAAAGCAATTCCCTTTGAAATTAGGAAATGTGCATCTGAGAAAATGTGTATAAGATTTTACTATGCATATTATTTTTTCACAAGCAACAGCCCTTTCATACACTTGGGAAATTATGTTTGATTCTTGTGGGATCTCCCAAAAGCACTTTGTGGCTTTTAGTTTGGCCGAACATTAAAAGAGGCAAATTCCTCAATACCTGCATAATTCGTTGTGTATGCTGAGCAATCACTGTTTTTAAAAAAATCTCAGGCGTTATTTGTATGCAAGTTTGGAATCAACTGTGAAGAAAATACCATTGAATGGTTCCCAATCATTTTGAGAGGCTTATAAAAACAGCCTTCTGTGGATTGTGCTGTTTATGTCTTTTCGGTACCGACTAATGTTGTCTTGAACACGTTCGAATGACATTTTCACTTTTATTCCTTTCAGTTCCCAGTAAAACAAAAATTCCTGTTTCCATGTCCCAAATCCTTCCCCATCTGGAACAGCCAAAGATTGTACCGGGTAATTGCGATGTAATTTCCTATAACTGTTTTGTTCCACAGCATGGCTCAAGCTTTTTTCTGACTGATTTGATGACATATTTCATAAAAACAGAACATATGTTGCTCACATGTATTATTTTATTTTATAAGCAAAGAACACAATATAATATTATACATAATTACCACTAATTATTAATGTCTGTGATTTAAAACAGCTTTTATATGTCTGTTTAGATTTCACAGTCACATCAAAGCTCGTGTTTCTTTTAGAAGTATTGGGGAAAATTAATTTGTTTGCTTTGAACTTGGTTTCTCATGACAGTAAAGTTAGTAGCATTTCATAGATAGCTCAACAAAAGTAACAATAAATAATAACAATTAAAACATAAAAGTCTTCTAAAAATAAAAACAAAAATCAAGATAAAATATTATTTCAGCTGGATTTATCAATAGTCTTAATTGTGCACAAAAAATTATGTCTTGAGAAAATGTAATGTCTTAAATTTTTATTTTCATACTATAGTTTCTGCAAAGGTTGATCGCCATGCAGCTATGTTGCATTGTGATCGATCCTAATATTGTTTATATCCACATTTATTAAGTCTTACTAAGTTGGAAACTGAACATTTTAAATCAGAAATAGCTCATTGTTTATGAAGATGGCATAACCATATGGTTCCTAAGATTGGGTCTCTCCATTTTGCACTGGGGAATTCGTAGGTTCTTGACTGTTGACTTTATATCCTGCACACAGTGCTGAACTGATGGTTGACATGATCAGCTTTTGAGATGGAAAATAGACAGATATTTCATCATTTTTCATCTCTTACCACATTTAACGTATTATTTTTTCTCGTTCTGTCAAAGCACAATATACAGGTAGATTCTTGTAATTGATACTTTTGTACATGTATTCTGCAGGCACCCAATCCTGTCTGATCTTGGAAGAAAGGTCACATTTACACAAGTGGTCTTTGTAAAACACATGGTACTAGAAAATGTGGTAATGTTTTCATTGTCATACAGACAGAAAAACAGGTGTAGCACCTGATGGCTTTGCCTTCTGATTTAGGTTTAGGATTCAGCATTGTGAACAGTTTATTTAAAGTCTAGAATGAAGCTCAGAACAGATTCACTACATCCTTTACATAGAATGCAGCTGCCATTGTTAGTTGCTTTTGTCTTTGTGATCAGTCATCCTGTCTTTTGCCCTTGCTGCATGCATGTGCTTTTGCACAGACACTAACATTTTACACAACGCCTTCATCTTACACCATGGCAAAGTTCTCCTCAAGAGATCAGTGAATGCTTAGCACAAGTCTCATTGGGCAAAGATAATCAGATCTGTTTAAAATTTGGGAACTTTGAGACTTTTTCTGCTAGTGGCTTTGTAGATGTATGTGTGTGAGAGAAGGAGAGTGCTTCCAAATTGCCAGTCAGCTTATGGTGATCCCACAAATTTCATATAGTTTTCTAAGACGAGGAATACTCATTGGTGGTTTTGCCTGTTCTTTTTTCTGAAAATTTCACCTGGCATGCATTGACACTATTCCATCCAAGTACTAACCAAAAACTGGCCTTGCTTAGCTTCCAAAATCAGACAGGATCTTGTGCCTTTGGGTATTTAAGACTTGACTTTCTTGTATATTTCCCTAAATGTGACTCAGCAGATTTAACCAAGAGGCTGCATTTCAATGTGTAATGTAAACTGACATTTCAAGGTTGCTTATTCTCATCATAACTAGCTAGAGCTCTGGAAGGTTACAGAGGTTCTGTATACTAGAGAGTGGAAACTGAGCATAAAAGTGATCAGACACATTCTGTTTCTTATGCATCTATTTTTGGCTATGGAAGACACATGGAGAAGAATGTATGTTATTTCAGTGATGTCTCGCCTGAATACAGTAACCTCCCAGTAAACCCAGTTATAAAAACAAATGTGATCAATTTGTTTGGGGAGCAGGATCAAAATCCTCTAGTAACACCATTCCTTTATATTTATTAGGTTTAAATTATTAATGTGACATCATGTATTTAATGGAATAGATATATGAATCAAAACTAGTAATTTAAGTCAACAATATCACACCCAAGCTTTTATTTAACTAAGTTTATTTTGCCCATTTTGAGCAGCATCCAGAAAAGCTGGTATTCCTCTTTTAAACTCTCTTAAAATAATGAAATATCTGTGATTGGTCTATATGCATAGCACAAACATGTATTGGCACAGAGCAACTTTCCAAAACTATCTACAGCTGGAGACCTTTTGGTGGTATCTCCATTCCACTTAGTAATTTCACTGAGAGACCATCCAGACAGGCCTTTAAACCAAGACCTTCTCTTTTTTACCAGAAGAGTCCAAATGACACCTCGGGTAAAACTGAATTAATTCAGAGCAGGGTTTCTCAAATTAATTAGATATCTGGTAAGACCTGGATCTTAGGTAAGATCAGGGCCTTACCAGGTGTGGGCCCTGTGTGGATTGGGCCCAGGGACCGCATCAAGAAAACAAGAGGGCACCCACCACTCCCCCCAAACCCTAAAATAACTCCTTAAAAGTTAAAAATACCAACTGGACACAATTATCCTTGCACTCTCCCAGTGCAAGAAAAGGACATGCCAGGAGACAGAGGTCAAGGAAGAAAATCCCTCTTCAACCCACTCCCTCACCCTCCCGGTCTCCTGGCATGTCATTTCCTGCTCCAGGAGAGTGTGACAAGGAAGATAATTGTGTCCAGTAAGTTTTAAAAACTTTTAAGGGGTTATTTTGGGGGATGTTGGGGTGGCTGCATGCTATCCATGTAGTTACCAGGAAAGCCCAGGTTTTGGGGGGGCTTAAACCCCCTTCGGTTTAAGTCTTGTGTGGGAGCCCCCAAAGTTTTGTTTCATCTCCCCACTAGTTAAAGGCAAAAGTTCAGACTTTTCAGTCCTGCTATTTTTTCTATCTGTTTATTCCTTGTTATTCTGTCATTTTTCTCCTATGTTTGTCACTTTCAACAGAACATTTTATTTCTCAGTAGCCATTAGGTCAATGCCATCCTGAATAATTCTGTAGTATTGTATGCCGTACTCAAACTACTAAATCTTTAATACCTGGAGTTTATATGAGTTTACACTGCCATATAATCCAGTTCAAAACAGATAATCTGGTTTTATATGGAAAAAAGGGGGAATAAATCCCTGGATTTATCCTTTTTATTATCCTTTTTGGATTTTGAATCTTGTGCCACTTCACTTGATGGCGTTCCTGTTTAAGCAGGTATTTTTACAATTCAAAATAGCTTAATTATTGGATATTTTGTCTCAAGAAAAAGAAATAAAGCTAGCCCATTAAATGTTTGCTGAAATTAGTCAATGTGGGCAGATGAACAGATCCATTGTGCAACAAATCTGCCAATTTTCATAGGCATAAAAGAGATATGGTGCCTGGTAGTCGTAATCTGGTAGTGGCTTTTAAGACTTAATTAGTTTCTAGAATGAACTTTTGTGAACATATGCAGCTCAGGTCTAGAGCCTTGTGTCAAGATGCTTATTCTATGCTTATTCTGGGTCCTTTGATTGTACTGAATTGCTCAGTGGGAAAATGATACCAAAAAGCTGGACTTATCTCAGACAGTCTAACACTGTCAGCAGGATTTTTCAGCAGCATACAGTGTTTGCTCATTGTTAAGATTATATCACAAATGTGTTCCCTGGAGTCAAACCTCATAGTCAAATAAGAAAATTTTCTTCTTTATTTCGATACTCCAAGTACTTTTTACAGCTAAAGCCTTCTGATTCCAAGGACTATTTTTAAAAAAACTGGGCTAGCACTGCTGTTTCCATCACTCAGGATCCTACACTGGAACATCAAATGCATCCTGTCCTGGACAATTGTTTGTTCCCATGTTACTGTTGGTGGAAAAAACATCACCACTAGTAACTGGATTTTTTTTTTTTTTGTATTATGCGGAACAGTAATCAAGAAGAGTTCAGAACTCTTCCACCTGAAGGTATGTTCAAGAAATCTTGAAATGATTACAGAGCAATATGATGAAAAGGATAACTTCTTCTGAGCAGGAGGATTCTATTGAGTATATTTTATTGATTCCAAGAAAACAGCCGTAAATGTTGGCCGTTCCATGTGTATAGTGATTAGTACTTTTTTTATCAGAGTTGTTGGATACAGACTTGTGTTTTCTCCTGTAAAAGTTGGCCTAGCTGCATTGGCTGCTTATTTTAAGCCATAATTCCACATTCAGGTTTATTTGGATTGCCAGAGGAAAAACATCGACTAAGAAGAACTCAATATCATGGAACTTGTCTGTAGGTTTGGCCCATTGTACCAAATATCCATATGAGCTTTTGGCTATAGATTTTTTGGATAACCAGTCACTTAAGCTGGTGTCTTTAATTAATGTCACCACTGTTAGAAGATACACTGTAGTTGTGCTGCTTATCTGGCATAAAGGACAAGGTAATTTTGTGACTAAATATATCGTTCTGATTTTCACTTATCTCAAGATATAACTTATCAGCCTTTTATCCTGATTTACTTTCAGCTTTAGGCTCATCCCCTTATTCTTATCTTTAGCCACTGTTTCCATAGTCAACTTTCTTTCAGTCTTGTTTTGTTGTCATTAAACTGCAGCAGTAATCACATTGTCACTGTTTGTGAGGAAGATGTTTTTGCAAGATGTATGTAGAGCTGCTACATGGGTGCAGCCCTTCAGTCTTTATGCACTATTTCCTGCAACTTCTGGAAATTTGCTCAAGAAACAGAACAATATTTGAATGAGTCAGTCGTGTTGATGAGCTATTTCATCCTATGTCTTGAAGTAAGATTGATAGTTTTTAGCCATATATGTGATGCACAGAGACCATTATGAAGAAGAGATGGTTTATCTGTAGACTTCCGTGTACGATGGCAGAGAGGTAACACTGAGCTCTCAGAGTGGATTGGAGAGAAACCTCAATTCAAATTAAATCCTCCCATCCAGATTGTTCCTCAAGCTTTAATTTTCGCCATCAACCTGCCAGAGTCTCAAAGGAGGCCTTGGGGGGTTGATTTGGCGTGATTCCACCACAGAAAGGGAAAGAGAAGGTTGGAGAGAGAAGAGGTAGTGTGCCGAGGCTGCCGCCAACACATATGTATTATTAATATTCTATTGTGTCAGTTAAGGGCAGTGATACTTAGGAGGGAGAAGGAGTGGGACTACCACTAAAAATAATTGCTAGCTTTAAAATGTTCTGGAAAGATGCTCTGTACTAGTACAAACCCGTGCATGTTAAGGCCCTGGTAACTAATCAAAGAACCACCATTAGAGATAAACACCTGGTTTGCTTTTGAATCATTGGACTATCCTTACGATATTTTTTTTCCTTCATGGTTCTGAGGCTAAAATAATATTTTTGGGATAGAGCTGTATGCTTCCAGTTCTAAAATATGGAACATTTTGCTGTTCTTTATTTACTAAATAATTGAACCACTTGATGGTCTAGAAATATTCTGGAGTGCAAACATTTCTTCAAATGCACCTTACTGGGAAACTGTCAGCAAATATGCCTTGTATTCAATTTTCTAAAAATGTATTTGCAGCTACTTTAAAAACATATTGGTATTTAGCTCTATATATGATTTGCCCGCAGTGGGTTAAAGCACTGAGCTGCTGAGCTTGTTGATCGAAAGGTCGCAGGTTCGATTCCGGGGAGCGGCGTGAGCTTCCGCTGTCAGCCCTAGCTTCTGTCAACCTAGCAGTTCGAAAACATGCAAATGTGAGTAGGTCAATAGGTACCACTCCGGCGGGAAGGTAACGGCGCTCCATGCAGTCATGCCGGCCACATGACCTTGGAGGTGTCTACGGACAACGCTGGCTCTTTGGCTTAGAAATGGAGATGAGCACCACACCCCAGAGTCAGACATGACTGGACTTAATGTCAGGGGACTACCTTTACCTTTACTATGATTTGCTGGCTAAACTTTTTCACATTAAATCTAAAAGAATAGCAATTCAGTATGTGTTGAATATATCAAATTGCCTATGGCCATTGTGTAAACATTACAAGTGAATGAACATACAAATCTGGACATCACAAGGTTTGGTTGGAAGGATGTGTTCAGAGGTGACACACTATTTCATTCCTCTGAAGCTGAGAGGGCCTCATTTATCCAAGACCAGCTAGTAGGTTTCATGACCAAGTAGGGATATAAACTCTAGTCTCCCAGAGCACTCAAACCATTATACCATGTTGACTCACATATTCTTAAAAGATTGGATCTGAAATCTTGATCTCTGAGCTTTCCTTTCTCTGTCTCAAGAAAATATCCTTTGCTCCAGCAGTTACCAGAACATTGATTCCAGTTCCTGCCACAACTATGGTTTCTGGTGCTTTTGAGCTTCCAGTGACAACAATTGGTAATATTTTAGTTCAATTAATTGTCACCATTCTCATAATTTATTATCACTTCTAGAAGAATCTTTCATCTAGTGTATTATGCATCACCATATTCATTATAAGTACTCAACTAGCCTTTTAACTAGCCTTTTAAAAATTTGAATATGTCTATTGTCATATATTCCAATGATTTTTAATGATATTGAAATGTCTTGTTTTGATATACTACTTTCAAATACGAAACTGTAGAATCTACTCAAACCATATCTCCCACAAATGTCTTCAAGAAACCTTTTCGTGTATATTGCAACTTAGCGATCCAACCTATGTTATGGATGGTGTTGCATGCAGAGACCAGAACAGTGCTACCTGCTTCTCAGCTCAGTAGACTAAAAGAAAGGGAGAGTATATCACAGTGTACTAATCTGTTCAAATACTTCTCTGAACATATTGTCATCTCTGTATTAAAATTAGCCATAGAACTCCTACTATGAACACAATAATTCAAACCAAAGTATTAACAAGGACTGTCATATTTTGTTATGTGATGGTTGACAGTTCAACTTAGTTTCACTGCTCATAATTACCGTAGACACATTGAGTTGGCATTTGAATCCCATGGTGCCAGTTTTCTTCATAAATGATTCCAACTGCCACCCTCCTGTCTGTCAGCTTTCATAATCCTTTCAAACATTGCCAATAGAGCTATTGAGTAGATCATCTGTGAAAATTTGGAAGCATTATGCGTTAAATTAATTTTGTTCTCAAAATAAACAGTGCCAGGATATACTGTCTTGTATTCGTGGTTTCTTCCTAAATTCATAATCTCATAGAAAAAGGCTCCAGAATCCAGAAACCTCCCATTATTAGTTTCAACTAGTTATTCAAACCAGATAAATAATTGTAGCATGGGGTTAAATAGATGACATGCCTGAGAAAACATAAGTGGACTCAAAAAATCAGCCATGCCAAATTAACAGAAAGTGTGTTTCACTTGCAGGGTGGAGACCAGCTTGGGAAAGAGCTGGTAGATTAACTATTTTGTGTTCATTCTCTGCAAAAGAATAAAAGTTTAGCCAGCCTGCCTATAAATCTATGGCCCTTTCTACACTGTCCTATATCCCCAGGATCTGATCCCAGATTATCTTCTTAACCCAGATTATCTGGGAATGTGGACGTATATAATCTGGTATCAAATCCTGGGATGTAGGGCAGTGTAGAAGGTGAATATGAATCAATATGGAAAAATTCATATGAGAACTTTCCCTTTTTGGGAAACAAACTTGGAAAAAAAGGTGAAAGGCATGGCAGGCATGAGTAGCAGCTGGATGTCCAGTTTCTCTTGAAGGAGGTACTATCAGAGTCGAAGTAGATGTAGGGGACAACCAAGGCTGGAGTAGAGAGCAGGTTCCCCTATGTTCCCTTTGTTATTTAATAGTAGACTCCTTGTCCATACTTTATATGAGAACAGGATAGACAAATTTAACATACGCATAACAAAAATGCATGTCTTTTAACCCAAATAGGGAGTTAACGTTAGCCTTGGGAAAGAAATATTGACCTACATTTCTACAATACAGATAATATATGTGTGTTTTACAGTCAGTACAGTATTAATTAATTCTGGACTGGATCTTTTTTCCAGCTTCTTATGAATCAGATTCTATTCCTTTCAAACCTAAAGAACCTGACTATATCATCCCAGAAGTACAAGATAGCAAACCTGGTAGAGTAACCTTTTAAAAATGTATTTTAGTTCTTTGTACTTAACAAGAATTGCCGTCTTTGTTTTGCTGTCGGTACAGTGTGAATTAATTCTGGACTGGATCTTTTCCTCCAGGTTCTTATGAATCAAGCTCTATTCCTTCTAAACCTGAAGGACCTGCCAATATCATGCCAGACATACAAGATAGCAAACCTAGTAGAGTAACTCTTAAAGATGTGTTCTAGTTATATGTGCCAAACAATACATTAGTGTGTTTGCTTGTTTCGCTGCCGGCTAGCATGAATTAATTCTGGACTGGATATTTTTTCCAGCTTCTTATGAATTGAGTGCTATTCCTTCTAAGACCAAAGAACCTGACTATACCATGCCAGAAGTACAAGATAGCAAACCTGGTAGAGTAACTTTTTAAAAATGCGTTCTAGTTATATGTGTTAAACAATACATTAGTCTTGTCAAAGGCTTTCATGGCTGGAATCACTGGGTTGTTGTAAGTTTTTCGGACTATATGGCCATGTTCTACAAGCATTCTCTCCTAACATTTCACCTGCAACTATGGCAAGCATCTTCAGAGGTTGTGAGGTCTGAGGATGCTTGCCATAAATGCAGGTGAAACATCAGGAGAGAATGCTTCTAGAACATGGCCATATAGCCCAAAAAACCTACAACAACCCAATACATTAGTATGTTTGTTTGTTTTGCTGTTGGTACACATGAATTAATTCTGGACTGGATCTTTTTTCCAGCTTCTTATGAATCGACCTCTATTCCATCAAAACCTAAAAAACCTGACTATACCATGCCAGCAGTACAAGATAGCAAACCTGGTAGAGTACATTTTAAAAAATGTGTTGTAGATACCTGCACTAAACAATGCATTGGTGTATTGTTGAAAGCTTTCATGGCTGGAATCACTGGGTTGCTGTGAGTTTTTGGGGGCTGTATGACCATGTTCCAGTGGCATTTTCTCCAGACATTTCACATGCATCTGTGGCAAGCTTCCTCCAAGGTTTGTTCAGAGGTCTGTTGGAAATTATATACACTCCAACTATTATATACACTCCAACTACATCATTTCCAACAAACCTCTGAACAAACCTGCGAGGAAACTTGCTACCGATGTAGGTGAAATACCAGGAAAAAATGTTACTGGAACATGGCCATCCAACCCAGAAAAAGTCACAGCAACCCAATACATTAATTTTATTTTATTTTTTTGTTTCTCTGTCAGTAAGCATGAATTAATTCTGGACTGGATCTTTTCCCCCCCAGATTCTTATGAATTGACCTCTATTCCTTCAAAACCTAAAAAACCTGACTATACCATGCCAGAAGTGCAAGATAGCAAACCTGGTAGAGTACATTTTTAAAAATATGTTGTAGTTACCTGCACTAAGCAATACATCAGTGTGTTCGTTTGGCAGTACAGCACGAATTAATTGTGGACTGGATCTTTTTTCCAGCTTCTTATGAATCAAGCTCTATTCCTTCTAAACCTAAAGAAACGGACTATATCAAGCAAGAAGTACAAGATAGCAAACCCGGTAGAGTAACTTTTTTAAAATGTGGTTTAGATCTTTCTGCTTAACAATGCATTAGTGTGTTTCTTTCGCTGTTAGTACAGCAGGAATTAATTCTGGATTGGATCTTTTCCCCCCCAGCTTCTTATGAATCAAGCTCCATTCCCTCTAAACCTAAGGAACGTGATTATATCATGCCAGACATACCAGATAGGAAACCCGGTAGAGTAACTTTAAAAAAAAATCATTTTAGTTATTTGTGCGAAACTATACATTAATATGTTTGTTTTGCTGCCAGTATGTAAAAATTAATTCTGGACTGGATCTTTTTTCTAGCTTCTTATGAATCAAGCTCCATTCCTTCTAAACCTAAAGAAACTGACTATATCAAGCCAGAAGTACAAGATAGTAAATTCGGTAGAGTAACTTCTAAAAATAAGTTTCAGATCTTTCTGCTTAACAATGCATTTGGTGTGTTTCTTTTGCTGTTAGTACAGCAGGAATTAATTCTGGATTGGATCTTTTTTCCTCCAGCTTCTTATGAATCAAGCTCCATTCCCTCTAAACCTAAGGAACGTGATTATATCATTCCAGATATACAAGATAGCAAACCCAGTAGAGTAACTTTAAAAAAAATATTTATTTGTGCAAAACTATACATTAAATGTGTTTGTTTTGCTGCCAGTATGTAGGAATTAATTCTGGACTGGATCTTTTTTCCAGCTTCTTATGAATCAAGCTCCATTCCTCCTAAAGTTAAAGAACGTGACTATATCATGCCAGACATACAAGAGAGAAAACCCGGTAGAGTAACTTTTGAAAAATGTGTTTTAGTTATTTGTGCGAAACTATCTTTTTCCCCCCCTCTCAGTATGTAGGAATTAATTCTGGACTGGATCTTTTTTCCAGCTTCTTCTGAATCAAGCTCCATTCCTCCTAAACCTAAGGAACATGACTATATCATGCCAGACATACAAGATAGGAAGCCTGGTAGAGTAACTTTTAAAAAATTCATTTTAATTATTTGTGATAAACTATATATTAATATGCTTGTTTTACTATCAGTACGTAAGAATTAATTCTGGACTGGAACTTTTTTCCAGCTTCTTATGAACAGAGCTCAATTCCTTCTAAACCTAAGGAACCTGACTATATCATGCCGGAAATACGAGATAGCAAACCGGGTAGAGTAACTTTTTAAAATTGCCTTAGTTATATGTTCTAAACAATGCATTAATACAGCGACTTATGTGGATATTGGGTATGATTTGGGATTTGGGTGGTATTCGGTTAGCTTGTTCTTTGTTTGGTATTGTACGGCATTGAATGTTTTGCCGCAACTTGTAAACCGCACTGTGGTCCACAGGGAGATAGGGAGAGATATAAATAAATTATTATTATTATTATTATTATTATTATTATTATTATTATTATTATTGAAAACTACTAAGTGAAGAAAGTGATGTTTTTTTAAAAATATGTATGTTCTGGACAAACTTTCTGATGATAAACTAGACACTGCAGAAAGGTGTGTTTTGTATAGTTTACTGTTTAAGATGCCTTGCTAATGTTGGAAATCTAAAATGTTTCATTCCAGTCATTCCCATTGGCAATCCCGATGCACATATGAAAGCATAAACAAAAGAACTACTCAGAGCCAATTAGATTGTGTGTTCCTGCATGGCAGCAGGTTGGACTGAATGGCCCTTGTGGTCTCTTCCAACTCTATGATTCTAGATGGAAACTTAATGAAACATTAGCTGATTTTTTTCCTTTTAACAATTTATAACAGAATGAAAGCAATTTCTTCTGGTCATGGTAGAGAGGAAAAATCTTTCCCTTCCTATAGTAGACCTGACAAACATTGCAGCATATTATGACTTCTGGGATTTCCTCCTTTAACTAATAGCAGCAACTAGGGAACTAATATTGAGAAGAAAATGCCTTTTAAAATCCACATTATTAAACATAATCTCAAAGAATGTGGGGCGGGGGAGGGGGGGAGCTCTTATTAGTGGTTAAAAATAAAAGTGCTCTAGAAAGTGGCATTTTCACTATCATACCTAATTTGTCCTTAAATTCATTTAAGTGGGAGAACTGCATTGAGTGTATCTTGTGCCTCCTGGGTGACTTTGGCTGCTTGTTTATGTGGAATTTCTATAGCCTGGATACTGGGAATAGAACCACGAATGTTGTAGAACAAAGGAAAGAGCAGAAAAGGGCCACCAAAATGGTCAAGGAAGAAGAACTGTTTGAACTATAGGAAAATCTATAATATTTTGGCAGTTTTTTAAATAAAGGAATAAAGTGAATTATGGGAGATGTATATACATTCTGCATGGTATGGAGAAAACAGATAAGGATTTTTCAACCTGCACTAATAATAGAACTTGAAGTTGTTTCACTAAGCTGATTGCTAGGATATTTGAGGCAAACGAAAAGGAAGCATTTGATGTGGTTCGTTGGAATCCTGAAATTTTCAGTCAAAAGGTGTATCAATTTTTCATTTGGGCAGGTTTAATGGGTGATTAAACAAATACTTCAAAGAGATAGCTATAAGTGGTTACTAATTATGATGGCTATATATTACATTCACTATTAAGGATATATCCCAGTCGCTGTCAGTTGCTAGGGAACATTACTGAGAGAGTGCTATTGTACATGTATTGCTTCCAGACCTCTCAAAAGATTGTGAGAACATAAATAGGCACTAGATACATTTTTGGTTTGAGTCCAAAGAGCTCTACTTACTTTCTTAACTTTTATGCCTTTCAGCCAAGATCATGTACTGGATTTAGGCATGTACTTGGGCTTGGACATGTCCAGTGAAACTTCTTTCCCCTCTCTCATTTGAAGAACATCTCTAGTATAATTATCACACTTGAATTTTAGAAGACATTTGACACATGACACCGAAAGTCGTTCCATATTTAAGAACATGTTCAATCCCCCATTTGGCATGTGGAATATACTTTGACTCTAGATCAAACAATACACTTCAAAGCATATGGTAGGAAGCAAGACCCAATGAAGACAAAAAAATACTGCAAAATAAGTGTGCATATAAGTAAACACTATTTAACATACACATAATTTGAATTATTACAGCAACAGATATAAAAATGCCCTTCAATTCACAGACAGGTGAATGATATCATTCTTTTTCCCCCACATTCAGCTGAAGCAGATTTTTTTTCTTTTAAAGCACCTATGGGGTGAAAGCTGCCATTTGTTTATTCTGATAGTTATGCACTTTTGCAAATGACCCTGATAAAGTTTTCTATGATGTGAGTTATTGCATTATATTGCTGGTAAGATACAGTCGAAATTCATAAAATCTCTAACTTCACTCTTTAAAAGCTAAGATCTATATATATATCCTACAGGTTAAATTACACTGAAAGCAATGTTATTAAAGCATCAACTCAGATTTTGCCACAAATGAAAATTCAAACCAAGATCTTGTAAGTCCATCTGGAACTCCATATCACTGGCCTGAATAAAACTGTGACTTGCCCATGAAAGTCATTTGATGGCTTTATTTCACAACCCATTAGATATTAGGGAAATCTCTCTTGTTACTTTCTGAAGTCACTTTTTTCTTACTTCCATTGTATTCTCCTCCATTTTCACTTTCCTTAATGTGCTGTTTCAGATTATTATTATTATTATTATTATTATTACAATATACATGATGTAAGCGTGTATTTGTGTGTTTCGCTGTCAGTATAAGGTGAATTCATTCTGGACTGGATCTTTTTTTTTCTAGTTTTTTATGAATCAAGCTCCATTCCTTCTAAACCTAAGGAACCTGATTATATCATGCCGGAAGTACAAGATAGCAAACCGGGTAGAGTAAATTTTTAAAATGTGCTTTAGTTAGTTGTTCTAAACAATGCATTAGTACAGTGTCTTATGTGGATATTAGGTATGATCTGGGCTTTGGGTAGTTTCGGCACCATCCGACCCTTCTTTGAACGTCTGTCGCATTGTACCATGAAGCAGAAGAAGGCCTACCCTAAAGAAATTGACTATATCATGCCAGATGTACAAGATAGTAAACTTGATACAATGACTTTTAAAAAATGTATTCTACTTAATATGCGCTAAACAGTGCACAAGTGTGTTCATTTGTCAGTGCAGCATGAATTAATTTTGGACTGGATCTTTTTTACAGCTTTTTATGAATCAAGCTCTGTTCCTTCTAAACATAAAGAACCTGACCATACCATGCCAGAAGTACAAGATAGCAAACCTGGTAGAGTAACTTTTAAAAAATGTGTTCTAGTTATATGCGCTAAACAATACATTTGTTTGTTTCGCTATCAGCACACATGAATTAATTCTGGACTGGATCTTTTTTCCAGCTTCTTATGAATCGACCTCTATTCCTTCAAAACCTAAAAAATCCGACTATACCAAGCCAGAAGTACAAGATAGCAAACCTGGTAGAGTACATTTTAAAAAATGTGTTGTTGTTACCTGCACTAAACAATACATTAGTGTGTTTCTTAATTTCACCGCCAGTAAGCATGAATTAATACTGGACTGGATCTTTTTTTCCAGCTTCTTATGAAACGAGCTATATTCCTTCTAAACCTAAAGAAACTGAATATACCGTTGCAGATGTACAAGATAGCAAACCCGGTAGTGTAACTTATTATAAATGTGTTCTAGTCATATGTGCTAACCAATACATGAGTGTGTTTGTTTGCTTATCTTGCTGTCAGTACAGCATGAATTAATTCTGGACTGGATCTTTTCCCCAGCTCCTTCTGAATCAAGCTCCATTCCTTCTAAGCTCAAAGAGCCTGACTATATTGTGCCAGAATTACAAGATAGTAAACATGGTAGAGTAACTTTTTAAAAAATACGTTTTGGTTATCTGTGCTAAATAATACATTACTACATTCTATTATGAACAAGAAAAAAATTAATGCAGAACTTTAAAAAATTATGCATGTGTTCCAGAGAGACACTTTAGAAAGGTGTCGATGATATTATAAAGCAGAAGACCCTCAAAATCATCAAGGGAGCAGGGGCAGTACTGTTTTTAATTTAGGTGGGGAGGAGTTGTAAACTCAATAATGAATGTTGTTGTTGCTGTATGCCTTCTAGCTGTTTTTGACTTATGGTGACTTTAAGATGGCCATGTTATAAGGCTTTCTTGACAAGATTTTTTCAGAGAGGTTCTGCCCTGGCTTTCTTTGGAGGCTGACAGAATATGATTTGCCTAAGTCCAACCAGTGGGTTTCCATGGCTAAGCCAGAATGAGGGATTTGAGACAGATAAAAGGATGCTAGGCATATACTTGGTCTTGGACATGTCCAGTAAAACTTATTCTCCTCTACCACTTGAAGAAATGTCCCCATATAGTTGTCCTACCTGCATTTTAGTAGATATTTGATTGATGACATTGAGAGATGTGCCATATTTCAGCACCCATTTGAGCATGTAGAATTTGTCTCACAGTATTTGAAAAGTAACACATTTGGTAGAAAGTAAAGCCAAGTTGATGACAAAAAAAAACCTTATTTCAAAATAAATGCACATAGAAATAAAATCTTAAATGTGAGCAGAATTTGAGATATATTGTTCAGCAGCAGATATAAAATGCCTTTCAATTCACAGAGACTTGAATGATTTCATTTTTTTCCCCCAGATTCAGCTGAAGCAGATAATTTTTCTTTTAAAGTACCTACGACAACAGAACTCCCATTTATTGATTCTGGTAATTATGTGCTTTTACAAATGGCCCTGATAAAGCCTTCTGTGACGTGATGGTTGTTACAAAGTATTTCTGGTGGGGTACAGTGTTAATTCATAAAGAGTTGAAGTGCCAACTTAGAGATGGAGGAGCTTTTACCAATGAAAATACAGTTAGCCATTCAACCTGTAGGTATTAGCCAATAATATAAATGGCCTATACAAGGTGGTACAACTCCTCCAGTCAAACCTTTATTCAAACCTCTCTCTTAAAAAGCTCAGATCAGCATATATACTTTAATTAATTTCATCCTCACCAAACTCTGAAAGATAAATTACACTGAAAGCTAGAAACTTTTCCAAGGATATCAACTAAGATTCTATCATGAATGAAAATGTGAACCAGGGTCTCATCAGTTCCTATTCAACTCCATATCACAAGCCTGAATAAAACTGTGACATGTCAATGAATGCGGTTTGGCGGTTATATCCCCTTCTGAGTTCCCTTCAGGGTGAGAGAGGGTGGGGTATACATATAGTAAATAAATAACTAAAAGAAATTATATGCTGCAGCTCAGGACAATAGCCAGAAAAAAAATTGGGGAAGGGGTGATTTTTTTTATTTTATTTTTTTTTTGCAAATCATGAAAAGTACTTCCATAACACAAAACAATTTAAATAGTATGGTTCATTCTATATTTTATATAGACTTAATTAAATCAATTTTCTCATCTCCTTCATTGGGGGGTTCAAATCCCTCCCATGCCGTAGGCTTTGCCTACTAGTTGTAGGTGGACCAACTTGGTTGCTTCCACTATATCAGCTATTGCTGCAAGTAATGACTGTGAATACATTGTCAAGATTTGCTTGAGATAGTGCTTGCAGTTCTGGAGGGACTCGTTTAATTTTTGCTTCTGATAGACTTAGCATGGGGATTTGGTTAACCAGTTAAAATTCATGAGTAAACCAGGTTGTTTTTTTAACCTGAACCTCTAACACCCCCCCCCCCCGGCTACAGCCCTGGTGCAGCTCACCAAAGGTTCAGTAGAGGTTCAGTAGACCTCCCCTTGTTCTCTGAAGTCATTTTTTTTTCATATTCTTCTCCGTCTTCACTGCACTTAATGTACCACTGTTAATCTGAGTTCTGCCTTAGACTAATGGCCAAATTGGCAATTGACAAAAGTGAACAAGTGTATAATTTTACTTATTACATACTTTGTGATCTCTATACCAGTAAACCTGAGTGATTAGTTTTAAATAATGTGGTTTCATTGACTTCAATAACACCGTACCAACTTAAAGCAAGTACTTTACTTTAGGTGGGCAGCAGCTGTTTGTTTTGTTGATCCAGGAATTATCTGTTTTTCATTCTGTTTTTTAATTAATGTAATAGTTAAGTTCATTAAGCAAGGTATTCCTCATTTTAATAGTTCCCTTTTTCTCTGGTACAGTCATGGAACCTGTTACGTTTAGCAATGAACTTCCAATAGTAGGTAAAGTTTTTCTGGTGATCTGGCTGATCTTCCTGTTACATGTTCTTATATCAGAAGCCTGTTTCCATTTTCTCCTTCTGCAAGATCATCTAACATCACCCATTTTTCCCCATTAAAATCCATCTTCTCTCTAGGTATGTTGATCACTTGGCACTTTAACCATTTTGTTTCTTTTTCTCCCACAATATTGTTTTTCCTTTCCTTGCACAGTGATTGTGTTAGCTCTGAAAGCAGCTGGAGGTTGCCACATTACACTGCAATGAAGGCAGCACATTACCTTTTAAAGCTGGGTTCCAGAAACTGTCATGAATTTCATAATCTACCTAAATTAATCCTTTTGCTTGTTTCAAAGCAATTCTTCCTTCTGAACTCTTTGTGTACGTCTGCCTTTGTATATCCACAGCATGCTTCCGTTTCTTCACCTTCACCTCCAGAGCTAAAATGCAAGATCCAAACTTATAGAAGTGTTAACTATTCCGGACTTCGTTTTGTCTCTTTCAGCTCCCAAAGTTAAGGAACATGTCTACAGTCCCAAAACAACAATTACACCACATCTGCCACATACAAAGCCTGGTAATTTTTTTCACATTATCACGTTTTTTTTTAAATTTATTTATTTTAATTCTCCTGTGTATATATTACATCCATAAAGTACATTTAAAAAATACAGAACAAGAAACTTTACAATTAAGTAAAACAAACATTGTTTTGTATTTATACAGTTCTTGAACCTATTGTCCTTGAAACTGATCCACCAAAGACGGAAATAGGTAATTAATCATATGATATTATTAGCTATGCTTGTTCATGGGATGTTCATTCGTGTAGAATCGCTATTTGTTTCTGCTTGTTTGAACCGAAGGCTCCCCATATCCATTTTTCAGCGCTTCCCAAAAATGGGCATGCTGCCAAATGGGGTTTTCGTAAAGCATCTGAAAAAAACCAGTTCTTTTCAGCCCATTGGCAGCAATGGGGTTAAAAAAGCATACATTGGGGGGGGGGCTTCCCACAGACTCCCCTTCCATATCCTTTATTAAGACATGGATTAAAAAAGCATCAGAGTTATCACTCTTTCTGGATCCTTTCCCTTCATATAAGGGAGACTGGGTTTAATGCTTCTTAAAGCTGTTCTACTCTAGAGGAGAGGTAGGACATAGCTTTGCTTTGAGGAACCTGTGGTGCTGGGTCCATATCCCCAAGAGAGTGGCTGAGGGAGGAAGAGGGAAGCTCCTTGGCTCTTGGCTGCATGAGCTTAACCTTGGTCCCCCACCCCCTCCTTCTGCCGATGTGAGCTGGAAGCCTGGCTGTCGCTGCTGCTAAAGTTTTCCATGTTGGTGGTGAAGGAGGAGGGGGTCAGACCTGGGAGGGTTAAAGATACCCCTCTTTCTGGGATTTTTTGTTCTTATCCAGGCTCCTGCGGCACTGGGTCCGTCTCCCTGAGAGAAAGGCTGAGGGAGAGGGGAAGCTTCTTGGCTGCACATTTCAAGGAGGACCAGGGAAGGAAGAGATGATGACTGGAGCTCAGTCGAGCTAGAAAAACCACATGCTCACAAAAGCAGAGGAGGAGCTGGTTATCAACTCCCGCTTGCTTTCATGTCGAATTGATTTTCGTACCAGGAGGGGGCTTCCCGTTACGTGCTCCCGATGGGACCAAAAGAACGGATGAAACAGGAGAAACAAATTCCGCACACAACTCTAGTAGTCAAGTTAATATTTAATCTCCATATAGACTTAATTTGTTTTCCCTATTCAATTCTTTGTCTTTCTTACTATAATGGGGATTTGTACTTTTCTCAAATAGTGTCTATGTTCATTGATACCAGTACCAGATTTTTGAACAATGATCTCAGTTAGAAATTTCATTTTTTTTTATTATATTTCCAGAAGAGAGACCTCCTGTGTCTACCAGACCTAAAACCTGGTTCATCACTGATGCACCACAAACTAAGCCCGGTAAATTCCTTATGCTTTCTCAGAATGAATCTATCAATTTTAATTTTAAAACTATTTTGCTATAGCTCGGAATATACTTTGTACTTTTTCCTAAAGATGCAGGGCAGTATTTATTTAACTTGGAAAATCTGATTTATTGATAGTTTTTTCTATAGCTGGAAAGTTTATTTTTCTAATGGGCTTTGATAGTTTGCCATTTCTAGGGCACATCCCATATGATACAGCCTAAAGAAGCTGATGGATGCAAATACTCATACTGGTTTTTATTTGCCAGTATCTTTTCTATTGTGAGAAATCTTGGGGGGGGGGGGGGGGGGGGTTCTAAGTAGCTGTCAATTGATTCTACTGTATAAACTAATTTTATCTGTCTGAAAACTGTACTCCTTGCTAATAAATAGATATTAATGAAATTATAATACATTTCCAATATTCAATGCTTATAATGAATGATCCAGTAGAGACTGCATTTGCAGTTTCATCCTATTATGGCTATTTGGAACAGTGTCCATATTCATTGTCCTTTTTATCATTAGTAGCCAAAGGACACACGTGTGGAATGAATTTCACCTTTTACTTGAAGTTGATTGGGTGACTTCTTCATGTTACTCGAGTCACAAACTAATTGAGAGTGACTTGCATCTTCCTTGCTGTAGATGACATCCTTTAGATGGGTTGCTCTCCTCCAGTCAGTCCAACAGACAATTTTTTATGAATAATGTAGATTTGAATCTCTCATTAGCAAGAGAAGATGGTTTTCCTCAGTTCTGACTAGGTTTAAATTGTGTGCTGCTATTTTCAGCTGACTTTTCCATTCTTTTACTCTAACTTCTACTACTGGCTCCCACTTTTCCTCTTGCTCCTGGTCTTCCTTCTCCAGTTCTTTTTTGTAATCCTCCTGAATGTTTCCTGTTTCACAATGATGTTGCTAAAGAATTAAGCGAAGGCACCTTTCAAAATGTAGATGTGAGCATGGTCAGGAGACTTTAAAGAAAGAGTTGGGTTGGCTGAGGGAGATGATATGGACCATGCAGATGTGGATCTGAATACAACACTATTTGATCTTGTGATATTGCATTTGTACTAAGATTTCTGGTAGTGAATCTTTGCTTCACTAGCAAATTGCAAGATGAACGGATTTTTCTCCTGTTTTGTGGCAGTTGTGCTTCAATCTTCTGATAGATCCTTGACCCCAGGAACTGTTTAGTTGAAAAGGCCTGGATTATTGTCAATGCTCCACTGTCACAAAGGAAGGAATGGTTTATGAATTGATGGACTTTGATCCTAGATCATTGTCAGTTGTTATTTGCACCAGGTCCTCCCATGTAAACTGCTGTGTTTCACTCAGAACTGCCAAATTAATGCTTGGAAATTGGCTGGTGATGGCTATCAGATATCATGCTCTCTTATGCTCAGAGGTGAGCCACTCAAAGACAGCCTTTATTGATTAAAATAGTAGCAGTAAATGGTGTAGAGCAGTGGTTCTCAACCTGGAGTCCCCAGATGTTTTTGGCCTTCAACTCCCACAAATCCTAACAGCTGGTAAACTGGCTGGGATTTCTGGGAGTTGTAGGCCAAAAACATCTGGGGACCCCAGGTTGAGAACCACTGGTGTAGAGTAACCTATCCAGAAGATGCTTACCTACCACTACAGAAGACAAACATATCTTGTCAAGGTCAACAATCCTTTTCTTCTTAGCTGTCACAATGATTTATAAAATTATTACTCAATTCTGGTATTTTTATTTATTAATATTATTTATGCAGACATGGAACCAGTTACCTTTAGAATTGAGCAGCCAAAATCAACTCTAGGTAAAAACATTTTAATCATGGATGGTTATATTTGCTTCCCTTTTCAAATAAAACTAGCTATAATTGCATGCCATGTCTGTAACATGTTGGAGATTACATCATCATTTTTAGTTACCTACTGATGTCTCATCCATTATATCTAACTGTGCTAGATCTAGAAAATGAAAATCCACATGATTCAAATTTGGACTGACAAGAAGATGCATAGCATGTGAAATCATAATGCAGGAATGCTTACTCTTCTGTTACTAAAAAGGCTTTTTGTTCATAGAAAATCTGATACTAACCTAGTCAAAGAATGGTAAATGAGAAAAGAAACCCCAGATCAGGCAAAGGTCTTGCAGTTGCACAAGACTTCATACAATTCTTTTCAAGATCTTTTAATGGCCTATGTGAATTTAATTGCTTTGCCTTGAGCTAAAAGGAGATTTCTGGATGCAACCTTAGTAATTATGGTCTTGTCTACACCAGTCATTTAATCTGGGGCCAGTCTGGAGCATTATGATCTGGTCTGGTCTCAGATTGACTGTGTTGTCAGCCGCATACCCCAGGCCAAAGGCATTGTTGTGCCACAGTGGTGTCCAGGCAGGCAGACACACTCATGTCCAGACAGAACACATTGTCTCCCTTGGGCCATCTCCTTGTCATCCTTGTCATCAGAGTCATCACTGCTACCATTCCTTGTCAGCCACAGAAGACCCTGTGAGAGTTGTTGATCGCAATCAGATCTTTTGAAGTCATAATGGGAAACCTGTGCAATCAGCCAGGAGGAGCTAATCATGTAAGTACCCCATTCTGACCTTAACAGAGGCAGCCTCAAGGAGCATCGTGGCTGACAAGAAGAGGTGGTAGTGACATGGAGACACCCATCCCCTTCCCTGCATTGATCAGCACAGGAAAAAGGTAATAGCAGCAGTGTGTTTGGACAATGGATCAGTCTGAAGGAGACTCAATCCAGCAATTCAGATGGCCACAAAGTCCTTCTTCGATCTCTGGGATGTATCCTGACTTTATTTAGAGTGGAGCTGTCAGATTAAAGGCAAAAAATGCTCAGTATTGCTGGAAACTACCATATGTCAAGAACATTGCAAGGGCCAGATTAGGGCCAAACACAGAAGACAAGCTCTATGTTTGTCTTTTTAACTGAATAATTGGCACCAGTAACTCTAAATTCATCAGAACTACAGCATGCAAGAATGGAGATAGAGTCTTTTGCCATAAATCAGCCAAAAATTCCCTACTTTAAAAAACTACTAAGGAGCTAATAATAGCTTGTATTGACAGTTATTGTCATAGATCATGACAGGAGAAATGTAGAGCCCTTCCACACAGCCTTATATCCCAGAATATCAAGGCAGAAAATCCCACAGTATCTGCTTTGAATAGGGTTATGTGAGTCCACACTGCCATATATTCCAGTTCAAAGCAGATAATGTGCAATTTTATTCAACTGTGTGGAAGGGGCGGTAGTTATAGTCAAACAAACACACCTTCACAGCAAACTGCTTTCAAAATTAAAAAAGAATGCCTACAACTATATGTTATATATAACATGGCATGACTTGTTCAAAGAAAGGATACAAAATTCCAAGGGGCTGTTGAAAGCCAATTCCATGAAGAATTACCTGAAATAGCCTGCCATACCCTGTTCACAACTGTTTCAAATAATTGTTCATACAACATTTTTAGAATGTGGCATACAAAGCCTTTATACTAACATTTATAACATTGATTTCAACATCTCCATTAAGCATGCTCATGGTCACTGTTAGACTCTATGTATTATGTTTTCATTTCCATTGTAGAATGGATCTTTGTTTGAAGCTTTATTTTGGCAGCACTGTGGTCACGAAATTATACTAAAAGGATTCGTGATTAATTGTTTCAGCTCCTAAAGAAACAAGTCGAGTTCCTGCCAGGTTAAAAACGTCTCCTAGCCCTAGTATAATGCGAACCAAACCTAGTAAGTATTCGTTCATATCTTTAGTTTATGCAAAATTATATTGAATGTGTAACATCTCTTCTATTAGAAATGATTTAGCCTACACAGACCTATAAGCGGGTTGAAGAAAATTACAAAAAATTCTCCACCCAATGAGAAAAAGGACACTTTAGTAATCTCCAGCTTTTTACCATATGCAGCCCTCCTCAAAAAGCAACATACCCAAGCACATAAAAGCTTTATTAAAATATTTGAAGAGTGATGTGCATGATTAGTCAAAAATAACAGCCAGATGTATCTTGGTTGATTCTTTTTTCTTATCTGTTGAGTATGTGGAACAAACATGCCAACTGAATATATAAAAAGAGATGAATCACTGCTTAGCAACCAGAACAATGTTTTTCCTTTCAAATCACATGTTTGGCCAACTGTGTAAGTCATTTGTCTTGTAATGCCTTATGTAAAAGACATTTCCATACATATTGTGCTAGGTCTTTTGTTTTCCTCAGTACACGTAGTCATTTTCTAGGGTTTAAGAGATCATCCATGTTATGTTGTCAGTTTTAATTTGGTTTGGGTAAACATAATAAATTTGATTATGCCAAGGATACCTTTCAAAAATGGACTAAAGAACAGCTGACTTAAAACTAATACAGTGCCGGATGTGTTGATATCACTTTGACAGATCTCAATTGTGTGTATGTGTACACGAATACACACACACAGTGCTTATAGAGGATATTTATACATTTGATTCAGCCACTGAAAATTTCTGAATTGAATTTTTGAACTAAGTTGTTTGAACATATAGTACAGAAAGCCAACTACAATCCTAAATTTATGCATACCTTAATACAACTCCACCATGGCATGACTCCATTGGAGTCTCCTGCCCTTATGAAGAAAAACTACATTCTTCCCCTTTCCCCCAGCAAGTCCATTTCTAAAGGAAAGAGCCATTTGACATATGAACTGTGAGGCTGAAACTATTTCCAGTATACTTGGAAGCCCTAGCACAGAAATGTATTGGGATAAGGAGGCCATTCAAGAAGGATTGCTCCTTGCCCTGAGGAATACTAAGATGGTGAGAACACAACTTTATTTCTGCTACTTTCTTTCAGGTCCAAAAGGCAACCGGCGTGTTTCATCCAAGCCTAAAGTGCCTCCAACAAAATCCAGTCTCAAAGTACCTCCAACAAAATCAGGTAAATAGCTCACTACTCATGGCTTAATTTACAACACACTAGGTCTTCGACCAAAATTGTGTAATTAAACTCTTACTCGTGAGTATTTGGGCACATGCATGATTGTCATATTGCTGTTCTCTGAGCAGAAGGTATTGACTTTCCTTGAGTTACCTGTCCGTTTGACAGCCCGATCAGCTGATCAGGCGCTGGAGCAGTCTACACAGGGGGGAGGGAAGGAAAGCACATGATTTGCATTACTGCAAGGATATACAGTTATGCAAAGATGCACATTTTTCAGGTTTTAAGTGCACCTTTTTAACACGTGTTTTTCAGTTTTTTCAGTTTTTTTTATTTTCTGTTGCATTTCTTTAATCTTTAGATGTTTTATTTTATTGATTGAATTCATCCAGTTGTCTATTTCTCTCTCACTACAACTTAAGTTGCACATGTTTTTCAGTTGTTAACTTGATTCCTCTAGATTTCCCCTGCACTTTGGCTAAACATTGTTTAGCCATAGTGTGGCAAGATGTTTTTGAATTCCCACAACAGCTTTTCGTGGGATGGGGTACTGGTCCTACACTTGGTTTAATTTCCACAACTATTGGGGGTATGCATTTGGTTAAACCTGAAGGGTTATCCTCTGCCCAAACTCCAGGCACTGCATACTTCTTCCATCCTTCTTTTTAGCCACACACCCTCTTTTAACCCGGTTACTTCTTGGTTTTACAGCATGTGTAGAAGGGCTCTAACACTTTACACTTTTCTCACAGAACTATCCTGAAGGGGAAAAAAATTTTAAAGTCTGTGAATATTTAATTACTTTGAACATGCTTAATTCCTTTTTGTTACTGCTGGTTACAATCTATTCTCCCATAGAGGATTATCATTGTTGTACCAGAATTGGAGGATTTATGATTTCTAAGGAAGCCTGAAGTTTTGCAGAACTTACATCATTCAAAACCTTAGAGGAATGTTCGCTACTAAAAAGTATTGTATAGAAAAATTATCTTTTTTTGCAAATGGGGAACTTGATCAACATGTTCCAGTGCAATAGTTCTACCTATATTGAAGCACTTCGCTTTCTAGCAAATTTGTTTTAAAAGGTTTTAATAAATGAAAAAATTTCCCAGTGAAGCAATGTTGAAATACAGTAGAACTGATTTATATTCTGTGAGGACTGGATTTCAAAATCATGTCATTTTTTTCATTCTATAGTAGTCTAAAGTAATCAGCCCATGAATGTTCTTAAAAAGAAACAGTTGTTTCAATACATTGCCCATATGAGAGTGTTTATTCACAACAGCTATTGAGCTTTCAAAGGCAATATAAAGGCACAACCAGATATCAAAAGGTGGTGGAAAGAACAAAGCCTGGGCTTCACAGACAAAACACTCCTGTTTACTACTCTGCATGGATCTAATAAATTGATTTATTACATTCCCTACATAAAATGAAACAAAAATGCAATTATATAAAGGTCTGTTGTTATTATTTACCATCTAGTCATGTTTGGCTTATGTCAAGCTACAAATGAATGACCACCAAAAAAACACTATTATTACTGTTAGTTCTCTTGAGAGTCGCCCCCAGTGGAGCAATGGGTTGAACCCTTGTGCCAGCAGGACTGCTGACCAAAAAGTCAGCGGTTCAAAACCGGGGAGCAGGGTGAGCTGTCTATCAGCCCCAGCTTCCCATGCAGGGATATGAGAGAAGCCTCCCACAGGATGGTAAAACATCCGGCCATCCTCTGAGCAACGTCCTTGCAGACGGCCAATTCTCTCACACCAGAAGCAACTTGCAGTTTCTCAAGTCGCTCCTAACATGAAAAAAATGTGTTAAGGTTCTGCAAGAGTAGGGCCATGCCTTTAGAGAGCCAATCCATCAATAGTATTATCTTTGTCTTCCTTACTCCCCTCCACTTTTCTTAGCATTATCATATTTTCCATTGAACCAAGAGAGCTCGTATTGTGTCCAAAGCATAATTTCAGCCTAGGTTAGTCATTCTGGCTTCTAGTGAAAGTTCATGCTTAAATTGACCTCAGACCCATTTATTTGTCTTTTGGCAGCCAGCGGTTTCCCTAGAACTCTCCCACAACACCACATTTCAAATAAGTTGGTTTTCTTCCTGTCAGCTATCTTTACTGTCCAGCTTTCACAACCATACATAGAAACTGGAAATGCTATGACCTGGATGAGTCTGACTTCAGTATTTAATGTTACATCTTTACACATGCTGCTCATATCTAGTTCCTTAATAGTTGCACTTCCAAGTCCTTGTCTTCTTCTGATTTATTGACTACACCCTCCATTTTGATTCATGACTGAGCCTACATATTTTTTTACTTTGATATCTTCATCATTAATTTTATATAAACTTATATAAGTCATAGGTGGCCAACTGTTTTCTTAGTATACTATACCCCTTTTTGCATTTCATTGCAAGTCTATGTGATTTTCTGTTTGTGAAGTTTGTGCAGAACAGCTGGGGCCCCTCGGCAAAGAACTTCATTAGTCAACAGGAAGATATTTTTTTAGAGAGGAAGTCTTTTTTCATGCTTGTTTTGTTTTTAGTGTAGTGGTCTTTCTTCGTGCCTTTTTCTCAACTAAATAAGCCCTGATCCTGATATATGAAGAAGTTGTTGATGTCAGTTATTCTTCAAGTTGCATAATGGGAAGTAAGCCATCTTTTGCTTCACTATCACTTCTCACTCATATGGGCAAGAATGTGTGTATCCTCATAGGAAAAAAGAAAACCACTTAGTAATTTCTAATGCACATGATTGTTGAATGATCATGTGCATTACAACTTATCTCCCTCTATGAACCATTTCAGAGATTCAGATAGTCTGGGGAGGCCCTGCTCTCAGTCTTACCTTCTTTGCAAGTGCAGCTGGTACGGATGAAAGACATGGCCTTCTCAGTGGTGCCCCCTCAGTTGTGGAACTCCCTCCCTAGTGACATCAGATCAGCCTCCTCCCTACTAGTGTTGAGAAGGAGGGTAAAATTGTGGCTCTGGGAGCAGGCTTTTGAAAAATAGTAAACTGCAGTCATTTTAATGTGGAAAATATGGAATTTGACTACAGAATGGCCTTAGACTTTGACCCTGGATGGCGTGATTACCCTGGATTTGACCATGGATGGCATGGTTTTAATTATGTTTATTATCTATTAATTTCAATGGCGGCATATAAATAAGGTAACTAAATAAATAAATGGAATGATCCCCCCAGAAAGACACTGAAATAGGAGAAGGAAAGAGAAATGAATAAAAATGCACCAGAATTTTTTTGCAGAAGATGTCTGAAAGAAGTAACTTGGGCTGTATCATCCAGTCTACTCTAGTGTTTGTTGCTTTGTGTGAAAAACAAAAAGGGGAAACATTCACAACTAAGGAGTTATGTTATACATATGAGAGGAGTGCTTGCAGTGATTCAAAACTATCTTGGCACAGCAGTTTCAAATGATGATGCAATTTCTCCAGTTCTTATGTTATTTTGGCATATCTTTTATTTTATTTTTCAACAGAAATTACTTCATTTTCTCCAGACCCTATAACTATCATGGTACCTCATGTTCCTGAAAAGGCAAAAGCAACACTGGGTAATTGTATTTATTCACAGTCATGTTTTTCTCTTAACCTTTTTTTTCTTAACTTTTTCAGAATGCTTTCCCAGAAGAGTTGTGTGTCAGACTACAGCAACTAATACACAGTTTTTCTTTCCACATGTTCAACTACCCTTTGGCACAAAATGTGATTGATTTTCACATGAACAGCATTTCCACATCAATCTCAATCTTTGAGTTCAACAATGACAGCAAGATTAATTTTCTTTCAGCACTCTTTCTATAAAAATGAAAATATTTGTTATTTTATTCCTTTTTTATCACAATTAGCCTTGGGTTGACATTTGTGGGTATAGCATACTTTGCAGAATGTTTAGAATAGGCTATAAAATATCTGTAATTAATTAACATTCACATGAGGCAGGAAGATGAAGTAAGCCACACATGGAAACAGAACTTTAAGCATATCCTACAGTGATTCCCCACGGCAAAGGAAACACTGGTTCTATTCACTTTGAAAAGCAATGAGAACAGTTACTGTGAAAAGATTTCTCTAACCACATATGCAGCTTTCTCATACACCTAAGTCATTTATTATTGTGGTGTGTGTTTCCTATCCCATGCAGTACATGAAGTGACAAACCAAAATGTAGTTTGGAATACAGAAAAGGAAAATGAAGAGTTTTAAAACTTGCTGATCATTTGGACGTTAAACACAAGTGCAGTTCATCAATATTCATTTTGAGATAAATTATGCCATTATTTTGCACCGTAGGTTATGTATGATATAATCATCACTATTGTTCAATGCATTGTCAAAGGATTTCATGACTAGCATCCCTAGGTTGTTGTAGCTTTTTCAGGCTATATGGCCATGTTCTAGAAGCATTCTCTCCTGACATTTTGGCTGCATCTATGGCAGGCATCCTCAGAGGTTGTGAGGTTTGTTGGAGACTAGGAAACTTGGGTTTATATATCTGTGGAAGGTCCAGGGTGGCAGAAAGAACTCTTGTCTGTTGGAGCTAGGTGTAAATGTTTCAATTGGCCACCTTGATTAGCATTTGATGGCCTGGCAGTTTTTTTGGTGTGTCTTGTTGGTGTGACTTGTTGAGAGATTATTAGCTGTCCCTGGTTGTTTCCTCTCTGGGGTTTTCCTGTGCTTGAGTGTTGTTTTACTGTTATAATTTTAGAGTTTTTTGTAATACTGGTACCCAGACTATCACTATTGTTATTTAAGTTGATAAAATGACCGGGTGAATGTTAGATTTTGGTTCAATTTATCTAGAAAGAGTGTGCTTTCATTTGCTCTGTGGACAAGAAAGTTAAAGACATCCCACCTATGCATCCCACCTATATTTGACAATGGAATAAACTACTTGAGAGGATAGTGAACTCTCCTTTTTTGGAGATCTTTAAACAGACATTGTATGGCTATTTTTCAAAAATGCTTTAATTATGTATTGAGATCAGACTAAACAGTCCTTGTGATTCTTCCCAGATTTAACAGTCTGTGATTCTATGCCTTACCACCTCATCACATGGAGTCTTTTCTGCGCTTCTCTGTGCTGCTGGTAGGTTGCCGGCAGGAAGTCACCTGGAGTTCATCAAATGTTGCAGGGCTGCTTCTTGCAGGGCTCCATGCTGGCAGCATGCCTGCAGTGTCAAGAAGCAGAGCCCAGAGGAGTTATGTGTCCTCTTGTCTCTTCATAGAGGAAGCTGGGGAGGATGTGGGAGGAAGCTAGGAAAAGTGGGGAAACATTGTGAGAATGGATCCCATAACCAATGGTGGTAAGGGCACAAAGTGTTATGCTGCCCCGCAGTTTCGCTACTGCCCCCTGGCTTCTGGACCTCAGTATTGTGAGGTCCTTAGTCTTTAGCTAAAATTATCTGGACCAAAGTTTTCTGAACAAAGCTGTAAAGCAGACCCTAACCTTATTATTTTGCTTGTTTCTGTTCATAACTGTCTGTGAATACTAATGAGGAGAACATTTATTATTCAAAAGATGATGGTGATGATGGTGGTGGTTGTTATAATAGTTGTAGTTGTGATTTTCTCCTAGTTGGCTTTCCTAGTTGCTTTCACATACTTAGCCTTTTTTAGACTGAGGGACAAATATGTTCTTGTGGTTTAAAATCCAGGTTTAAATTTTTATTTCAGCTTCAACAGTGGAACAGTTCATTCCTAATAAATCAAAACCATCCACCAAGCCAAGAATGGTAGAGACAAAACCTGGTATTTGAGTCACTTCTGTAATTCTATACATGCATATAATTCTATTGTTAGCCAAACCTCACTTTCTTTATTTTTAGAGAAAAAGTGCCAAATTCTTCCTGGTAATGCCTGAGCAGCTATAGTCATAAGGGTAGAACATGATATCCCCATCCCTTGTCTTCTGTAGAAACTATTATATGCTTTCCAGATTTAATATCAATTCTGACTTGAGAAGACAGAAATGTCTGGGTTTTCTTCTTCTTGGAAGTACTTTCAAAGATCAACTTCTAAACAATAGTGTCATCCTTGTCATCAGGAGTAGATACTGTAGTTGTCTACTCCTGGTAGCTCTTAAAATGTTGTTAGTCTACAGCTCCCATCAGCTCCAGCTAGCTTAGGCAATGGTGAAAAAAGTTGTTTTTGAAAAAACATCTGGAATGCCATGATTCCCCTTCCTGCTCTATTTTAGAGAACAATCTAGAGATTGTGATAGTCAAGGTAAAAGAGTTTGGGAGGTTTAGAGATCAAATTCCAGTGAATCAGACAAAGCCCCAAATGTGTAAAAAATGAGCAGCAGTTGGAAAGAAATATTGCAGGGCACAATAGCGCCCTGGAGGACCATGAAATTCACTTGGCCTACCTATTGTGTGAATATTATACAGCTCTTCATTTTTTTATCAATCCTAGATTCTGCAGCAAGCTTCCATAAGTTTACAGTAGCTGCTGCCTACATACAACATTAAATGTTAAAATAAAAAATACTGTATTTTCTGGCATCTAAGACTACTTTTAAACCCAGAAAAATCTTCTCAAAAGTCAGGGGTTGTCTTATAGGCCGGGTGCTGAAACTTCTGAGCCAGACTGGAGAATCTCCAGTCACCGCATATGGTGGGAAGAACTCAAAAACGGCTGCAGCCACATCCCCGCCATATGTGGTGACCGTATGAAAGCAGCAAGGGCAGTGCTATACAAGTACAGTAAAAGAAAATCCACTCAGTAGAATTTGTGGGAAGAAGTGACAACATGGTCCCAATGACAGGGTGAGGGGGCGTCTCACCAGGAAAATGCAAATGAAGGGCAGAGCAAGCTACAGGCATCGAGGATGCCGGGGATATGGAAAAAAAGAGATAGAGCGGCACTGTGCCCAGAAGAACATACCTCTTTCACCCGTCTGGCCCGCCCTGAATCCTATTATTGTACCTCCTTCTCTGCCTCTCAGATATCGCTTCTGAGAACTGCAGTGAAGCGGCACAGACATGCATGTGCAAGATCTGAGAGGCAGAGAAGGAGGCACGGTAATAGGAAAATTACCATATTGAAATCAAATCTGATGTTTTTAAATTTTTTATTTCATGTGCATTGGAAGAGGGGTAGCCTTATACAGTGAGTATATCCCAAATTCTATATTTTAACTGGAAACGTTTAGGGTTGTCTTATACTCACAGTCATCTTATACGCCGGAAGATACAGTACATATGCACTCATACATAGATATGTTTGTCATCAGAACAAAAGTTGTAGTTGCTTCAGAATATTTTGTTATCTCACTTTGTCAGCTCTGTAAAATATTGGAGGTTATATTTGAGTATTCCTTGTCAAAGAAAACCTATGACAATTGTGGAATTGTGAAAGGTGAATTGAAGGCATAAACACACGCACATTACAACTTACAAAAAATCATTTATTTTCCCATTATTCCTTTACATTGTGCTTTTGAATGTTCACCACTTTTTCAATATTTGTTTTAAATATTGAAGCTATCATAGTTATCCCCAGTCTCCACTGAAATACCTGCTCCAGCTTTGCTTTACAACACAAATTTCCTTGAAAAGTATTATTTGCAGTGGATGAGCTTTTATTTTTTCTATAACAACTTAAAATTTCATTTATTCCAGCTTTATAAAATGTTCACTTTTTCCTTCCAACAGCAGTACATCGAACAACCTCTCAGCCATTTGTACTCAAACCTACTGTATCTTCCGAACAAATAAAGACAATTATGGGTAAACTTCCATAGTGAAGTTAATTTGCTGTTCATTCTCTTTTCAGCATCAAAAATAATCTGCACCATTATTTTATGTTGTGACATCCATTTACTTTATTTACTACTTCTCCATTAATGTCTTTGTTTGGCTCTGTTGTCTCATGTCTGCTTTAGGAATGCCTTTTCTGGAGCTCAGAACATAAATTAACAACAACTTTCCCCTTCTCTTTCATCTTAAACCTGAGATATTGGTATCCACAAAGCATAAACATTCTTCATCCACAGTCACTGTGTATCATGGCACTGTTTTCCAATTTTCCAAGCTCTTTTAATCAGATATTCAGCAACACATGGACTTGTACTTTCATTTGAACTAAACATAGCATGAGTCTATGATTTCTAAATACTACAATAACAATTCCACTCCTTTTTTCTAGCTCCAAAAGAAACATGGTTTATTTCTTCTAAACCCAAAACATCTGGCAAACTAGATGGTCCTCCAAGTAAACCTGGTAATTGCATTCTTTTTTAAATTGTGTAGGTAGGAATTTTGCAAGCTTTAAAAATGCCTTAATAGTCTTTAAGAAAGTTAATAGCATCTTATTTCAATCAGTTTTATGGTGGTTTCAAATGTAAATATTCAGAAAGTATGTCATTTGATTGATGTTACATGTGACACATGAAGAAACGCAGAATCATAGAATTATAGAGTTGAAAGACATCACATGGGCCATCTGGTCCAGCCCTCTGCCGTGCAGGAAAAGCACAATCAAAGCACACCTGACAGATAGCAACCTCTGTTTAGAATCCTCCAAAGAAGGAGCTTCCACCACACTCTGAGGCAGAGAGTTCCAGTGTTGAACAGCTCTTACAGTCAGAAAGTTCTTTGTAATGAAATCTCCTTTCCTGTAATGTGAACCCATTGTTCCAAGTTCTGGTCTCCAGAGCAGCTGAAAACAAGCTTGCTCCCTCCTCGTGACATCCTTTCACATATTTATACATGGCTATCATGTCTCCTCTCAACCTTCTCTTCCACAGGCTATTATTATGTTGGACACTGCTCTGAGTCCCCCCAGGGGTGAGAAAAGCGGTAAATGCAGTAAAAAAAACCCATCCCCAGCTCTTTAAGACACTCCTCCTAGGGCATGGTCTCCAGATCTTTGATCATTTTAGTCACCCCCCTCTGAACACTTTCTAGCTTGTCAATATCTCTTTTAAATTGTGGTGCTCAGAATTGGATACAGTATTCCTTTTTCTACTCACATAATCAAAGAACTTCTTTTTTTGTTGTTTCCAATCAGTCTGGCAAACTTGAACCCATTTTGGGGTTTTTTTTTTAACCTTTAGGATCTTTTCTGTACATGTGTTGATTATTTGTTTGAATTCCTCTTTTGTGATTTCCCCCTTTTTTCAATTTTTATACATGTCTCCTTTAAATCTTAGCTCAGCTGAAAGCTCATTGAACATCCTTTCTGGTTTTTTTACACTTCTTTTTTTTCTCTTGGTGGCACTATTTGCAATTGTACCTTCAGTATCTCATTTTCAAGAAACTCCCATCCATCATTAACTCCCTTCTCTTTTAGTATCCCTGCCCAGGCAATCATGCTCAGGGTTTCCTTAAATCTCTCCTAATGTATGAAATGTAAGTCTGTTAGTTTCCCCTTTCCTCTGAATCACAAACTCCAGGAGCACATGGTCACTCCCACCTAAGGATCCCACCACTTCTACTCTATTTACCAGGTCCTTATTGTTGGCTAGGATCAGATCCAGAATAGCTGATCCCCTTGTTGCCTCTTCCACCTTTTGGACAATAAAATTGTGTGCAAGGCAAGTGAGGAATTTGTTGGACTTTATACTTTTGACAGAGCTCGTTTTCCAACAAATATCAGAATACAGTAGTTGAAATCTACCATTATTAGTATATCTCTTCTTTCTGCATGCTTGGTCATCTGTTCAAAGAAGGCTTCATCCAGTTCTTCAGTCTGGCTCGGGGATCTGTAGTAAACACCCACAACTACATCTTTTTCAGCCATTGTTCCCTTAATTCTTATCCATATACTCTCAATCTGATTTCCGGGATTGAAATCCTGTATCTCTTCACAATTGTAAACTTCCTTGACATATAATGCTACTCCACCTCCTCTTCTGTTTGGCCTATTTCTCTGAAATAAGTTATAACCTTCCATTACCACATTCCAATTAAAGGACTTGTCAGTTATGCCTATCACATAATTGTTTTGTTGTGCTAAAAGTTCCAGTTCAACTTGTTTATTTCCCATGCTCTGGGCATTAGTGTAAAGACATCTAAGCCCATGGGATATTCGCTGTAGCTGTTTATTTGACATTATTGTTCTCTTGGTGCTTGGTACTTGTTCTGTTTGTCCAACCCTCTCTTTAGCCTTTAGGCTGTTCCCTCCCAATCTTGATAAACTGCTGTTCTCGCTTCCCAAGGATATTGTCCCCCTTCCCCTTTAAGCACAACTTAGTTTAAAGGCTGGCTGATTAGGTTTGCAAGTCTTTCATCAAAAGCATTCCTTCCAACTTCTGTGAGATGAAGTCCATCCTGTGCCAGAAGCCCATCTTTCTGTAAAAGCAGACCATGGTCCAGGAAGCCAAACCATTCTTCCTGACACCATCTGCGGAGCCAGTCATTCACCTCTACTATTTTTCTCGCCCTTCCTGGGTCACATTGTGCAACTGGGAGGAGAGATGAAAATGCAACCTGTACATTAAGATCTTTTAGCTTTCTTCTGAGAGCTTCAAAATCCTTTCTGATCTTTTGAAGACTATGTCTTGCAATATTGTTGGTTCCTATATGAGCCAACAGGAAAGGGTGGTGGTCAGGTCAGTGAGCTTGCTGAGTCTCATCAGCCAGTCAGTTACATGGTGGATTTTTACCCCAGGGAGACAGCATACTTCTCAAGACATCCTACCTTTTCTACTTTTAAGATTCCCTATTCTTCCTTCCTAGGCCTTCATATGACCCATTTGTTTGGGTCATAATGGGAGCTGAGAAATGGGTGAGGTAGGGAAAAGGAATAGAACCTCCTTCTTGTTACTCTCTCTTATTTCTTCTCAAATCCAGATATCTTAAGTCAGGGAGTATTGCATCAGAACACTTTATATGCCATATAGATATAGCAGTTCCCTGGGATCCCAGATCAACATTGTCCACATTTTGAATGCTGTCAAAGCAAAGCAAAACACATGGTTTAAAGCCCAAATAGATGCAGAGGTATTCTTTGGGAAAGAAAATAACTAATGGTTTCAGGTCTGGTACTTTGCTTTTAAGTATAATAAGGCACCCATTAACATTTATTCAGATTCTTGGGCAGGTCTGTTTTAGATTCATAAGTTTTTCTTCCTCATATAATAAAATCTTAAATTGGAAATGACTTCAAGGCACACAACAACCAAGCTACTTTTGATATTGACATTTTTATCAAAGAAATAAGTCATTCTGATTGCCCTGAGCACAGAGAAAAAGATATAAGTATATTCATAATAATTACATTGAATTAATGATGGTAAAATGGAAAATGTATTTTGTATACTCAGTGTTGTTTCTTACTATCAGTTGAGAATGCCTTATCTGAAACGCTTGGGACTAGAAGTGATTTTAATTACAAATGTTGGAGTGTTTGCATGTGTGTGCGTGCAAATATTCCAAATATATGTGGGATATCTTGGGCATGGGGCTCAAATCAAACTCAGAATTAATTTATGGTTTATATACACATAACTGAAGGTAATTTTATACAAAATATTTTTAACAATTTTGTAAATTAGACCAACAGGGAGCAAAGGTGGCAATATCTCAGCCACTTCCATGTGGACAATTTTGAATATCAGAACATTTTGCATTTCGGATTTCCAGATAAGAGATATTCAATCTGCACTCATTTTCATCTTACATTAAACAAGTTCTGACTAATCCCAGTGCCATACCTGTTTTGTCCCCTGTAGTTCCAGATGCAATATACCCAACATTTCCAGGATCAATTAACCTTCACATTCATGTTTTCAATGGTCCCAAAGATGGTTTGGGTAATCTATTTATTTATTTATTTAAAGCTAGCTGAAATATTGTTTTATTTACTTATCTTTCTTACAGGGTATACGAACTCAACATTTTTGTGGGGGGTGGGGAGAGAGATTTTTCTTGCTTCTTTTCATCTTGACTGTGCTACAGAACACATTGCTTGTGATTGGTTCCAGATCATGTCCTTGCTCTTTCGTCTAGAAATCTTCACCTCCTGCACAAACTATGATTTGTCATCATGCATGCTGACCTAGGCCGGGCTTGTTAATTCTAAAATTCCTCTTTAAATCAAAGGGTCCATATTCTATGAAAGCATGGCATGCTGCCAGGATTCCAGCAATCAGTGTTTTAACTTCTAGATTCCTTTGAAAAAGTTGTACTTGTTTTTAGAACTTCATAGAATTCAGTTTAAAGAAAGCACCATTTATAACTAACAAGGTCAAATGTTTTATTTTTAGCTTCAACCAAGCCCCATAGTGGTGTAACAACTGAAAGTCCGCATTTGAAAACTGGTAACTTATTTAAAATGGCTTATTTGAATTCATTCAAAATTTGGTTTTTGTTAAACATCTCATGAACTTTAAATATATAGTTTACATCTATGAGTTTCATCTATTGTTAATATCCAGAAATTCCTTTAAATCACATCTTTTTAAACCTCCTCATCGGAGTTTTTTCTGGATCAGAGTGAATCACTTTGAGGCACAATTGTCTATACATAAACTTTGCATGGGTGGTAGATGGACATGACTTGCACAAAACAGCTTGGAAGGGTTTCATTTTAGGCTACACTACAACCTAGGTGTTATAGTAAAAAATACTTCTTCAAGTGTGCTATAGAAATATTGATTCTGTTTTATTGATTTATTTATTGGAATTGGGATCACAGACTGTTCTAGATGGGGTTGCACTCCCTCTAAAACATTGGTTCTCAACCTTTTATTGACCAGGGACCACTTGACCAGAGGCCACTCTCCAACATTAGTATAATGAGATTTACAAATCAATTGTTGGTCAACTTTAGATTCAGTTGGTTATTTGGGGTGCTGACTCTAGTAGTCACCATCTGCTCACCCACTGAAAACCATATTTAATAAGCCTTGACACTATAAGAGAGTTTTGCGAGACCAATCACTCTCATTGCAACAGTGTAGTAATGGTGAGCCTGCAGACCACATTTTAGTTCTTCTGGACCACTGGTGGTCCCAGATCACAGGCTGGGAATCACTAATCTAAAAGATCAAGTCTGTAGCTTGGAAGTTCTATAGACTGCTCCTAGAAAGCCAGGTTGCTGCAATGGCAAGGAGGACCTTTGCCCAGTTGCAGCTAGTGCGTCATCTTTGCTTTCCTGGGGAAGGCAGATTGGAGCTGCAAGGGTTCATGCCTTAGTTACCTCTTGATTGGACTATTGGAATGTGCCACATTTGGGGCTAACCTTGAAAAGTGCTTGGAAGTTTCAGTGGGTGAGAAATGCAGCAAGTCTAGTGCATTTTAAAGACCATGTAACATCAGTCCTGCAAAACTCCACTGGTTTCCAATTTGCTTTCAAACTCAATTCAAGATATTGGTATTGACCTAAAATCCTTAAGTGACTTGGGACCAAGATATCTGAAAGTATGCCCATTTTTCTTGCAGTTATGGTATTTGGATCCTCTTTCATGCTGTATGTTATCTTTAGTATTACTCATATTCTTGAAAATTAAACTATTTCTTTCTTTCTTATAGCCATACATAAAGTGCACGATACTACAGCTAAACCTAAGACTACTGATAAGACACGTTCCAGGCTTGGTAATATATATCACTTTTTAAATGTACTTTTAAGTTTGTCTTTACAGTTAGAGCATCTTAGTTATCTTGGTTTTTTAACCTCAGAAAAGTTTAAAAAGATGATAGGAGAATGATGAATATATTGTGGGAGTTTTGTTTTAAATGTTTTCTAAAGGGACATTAACCATACTTTTGAGGGGAGAATATCAGCCCTTAGACCTGTGACCTCATAAGTTTTCTTTAAGGAGTGTGTGGTTTGCAACAGGAAGCTCCTCTTCACAAATGGGTATGGTTTCTTTGGGTGATAATCTGACAGTTAATTTATGTCAAAACTGCATTGGTTTCAAGATTCCAAAGCATCCCATACCTTCAAAGCATCCTATACCTGCCCCACCTGAAGAGAAATCCTGTAAGAGTAAAGACCACATAAAGGAGACCAGACTTTTCCTGAAAAGACAGAATAAATCTTCTGAGGATGATTCTACTCAGTCATTTAAATTGAGTCAAGACAAGAATTACAAGGGTTGAATGAAAAGTAATGCCTCCACCTTCATTACTTGGGTTTGGATGAGAATATTTTAATAAATCAAATGGAGAAATAATCCTTAGAATGTGTTCTTTAACTACCACTATTCACTTTTCCACATAATCACCAGACAATTGGATACATTTCTGCCAACGATGAACAAGTTTTCTGAAGCCGTCATGTAAGAAGTCACCACTCTGTTTCCGCAGCCCATCGTGGACAGATCTTCCAATAGCCAAGCAAAGCAATAATGTGACCCACACATTCTTGTGAAATGCTGATTATGCTGAAATTTCTTTCTGAGTGATACGACAATCGTCCTGAATCAATCTGTCAACCTTTTGCTTGTAAAACCAGGTGGTTGCTGTCACAGGACATCCAACTCTTTGTTTATCACACAAGTCAGATGTTCCCACCTCAACATCTTTAAACTTACCCAACGATGCATAGTACTCACATCAATACAATCACCATAAACAGCTTGCATTCTCTGGTGAATCTCCTTTGGGGTGACACCTTCTGCTGTCAAGAATGTAATGACTGCACTTTGCTTAAGTCGCATTGACCAACTGTCTGTGCAGGGTTCCATACTTCACACTTTAACAACACAATCATTCAATTCTAAGGCTTCCTGCCAAAATGGAACTGTAGAGGAGAGTCTACTGAACAAGCCAGTATCTGCTGCATACCAGTACTGCAATCTGTTGAGGAGTTACAAATGTGGAGGCATTGCTTTTCATTCACTATGAAACACCTAAAAAAGTACTGGGTTCCAGGCTCGGATGGTGTTTACAAGGACCTGCTGGTTGCAAGTCAATCTGAACCCAGGATTTTTTTTTCTTACCCTATCTGGTGAGATGCAGCAGTGGAAATTGGCATTATGGGCACTTATGGACAGCAAAAAGAACAGTGCTGATGTGCAGCATCATTAGGGATCAGTGCAAGAGCAAGGATACAAAGGGATGGAAAGTGGCATTCTCATTGGAACATTGTAGTTTCCTATGTGGGTAGATGTTTGTTTACTTTTTGGCACAAGCTGTGTTTCCAGTTGTTTCAAATGCCCTTCCTTTTCTGTGTCACATTCAACTCTGCATGGAATATAAACTGATCAGCTGCAGCAGATTTTATGACTTATTCCAGAATTTCCAGTGAGATTTTCTGAAACACTCTTTCTGACTGGATATGTATTGGGGATGTATTTTTGTGAACATCTTGAGCTCGAGACAGCTTCAAATTGCATGTTAATGCCTTGTGGAACCTCCCTGAGATACCCATAGAACAGGTTCTACAAACCCCATCCCACTCCCTGTTCTCTTGACTCTTCCATTGGATGTCTTCAGCACTGAGATGTTTCCAATGCATTTTCCACATTATGAAACTCTACCAGATGCCCAGATCATTGAATATACTTCTGAAGGGGAGATTTAAAATTATTTCATTCCTGAAGAGGTCCTGAATTATCAATCTAGTAAACAAAGTACTCTTAAACAACAAATTTAATATTAAAAATGCTAACTCCCCTTTCATAGTACCTAGCATAAATCTCGTAGTCTAGGATAGACATCCAATGAAGACTCAAGAGTAGGCAGTAATACGGAGGGGAAAATCAGTGGGAACCATATATATCCATAAAATTTCTTTCCTGCCTAGTGTAATCAGTACAAAATTTTGCAGTAATAATAATAATTTTAAAAAACAACCTTCCATCATTTGTTGTGTTTTTCTTTTCAGTTGTAAATAAAACAACACCAGTCCCAGGTAGAACACGAACACCTGGAGGAGTAGCATGGAATAAACTATCAAGAGGTATTACTTGCATGGTCTTCTTAACTGTTGTACCTGATATAAACAAGAACAGCTGTGACTCTTTTTTTTTTCCTTTTTATTTCTCTTCATTTCTTTCCCTCCCCACCTCTCTCTCTTTTTTAAAAGGCATGTAAAGGGAAAGGACTGGGTAGCCGTTGTGGCCTCTTCCAACTCTCTGTTGCTTTGATAAGTGTTCTGTGTGCTTCTAATTGAACTGTGGTGCATTGTGGTGTAGTGGTTTGTGCATGGACTATGGGCAGATCTAGACAGCCCCTTTATTGCAGAAACTTCCACAATAAAAAAGGGATTGTCCAGACAATGTTCTGGATAATCCTGAATTAATTCACCACAAACTAGGAAAACCCTGGTTTGTCATGAATTATTTTGATAGTGGGCTTATTCTGTGCCTTCTTGGATAAACCCACTACTTCCGGTGTCTGGACTGCAGTCCAGACACCAATCCCTCGGTTTTCCAGGCTAAATTATTCCAGGAAACTGTGGGAATCCCAACCCTCTCACCAAAGCCCTAAAACCCCCTTTTAAAAATAAACCTACTTACTCAGCCTGCACTGAAGAGCTGTGGCAGCTCTCCTGGCGTGTGGAAATCACATGCCAGGAGAATGGGGGGGGGATGCTTCTTCCCCCCCCCCTTTCTCCTGGCACATCATTTCTATGCACCAAGAGAGCTGTCACAGCTCTCCAATAGAGGCTGGGTAAGTGTTTTTAAAAGGGTTTCAGACCTCACTACCTTTGAGGATGCTTGCCATAGATGCAGGCGAAATGTCAGGAGAAAAATTACCTCCAGAACATGGCCAAATAGCCCGGAAAAACCTACAACAACACAGTGATTCCGGACATGAAAGCCTTTGACAATACAACTAAAATATGGTTCATGACCTTATCATTACTACACAGTTGTAATAAGAATGACTGGTCTAGCAAAACCCTCTAATAGTGTTGAGGCTTATTAAATATGATTTTTTGTGGGTGAGCAGATTGTGACTACTGAATAGCATGTATTCTGTATCAAAAACTAGAGCGGATGTGGTCTATCCAATGCCGTTTTCTGAGTCAGCACCCCAAATAACCAAACTGAATCTAAAGTTGACCAAAAACTGATTTTTAACCCTTTTGGTACTAATGTTAGAGGGTTGTCTCTGGTCAAAGTGGTCCCTGGTCAAGTGGTCCCTGATCAAAAAAAGGTTGGGAACCACTGCTATAGAGGATATCCTTTATAGAAGTATCTAGTCATCTTCGTCTTAGGCAGCATGTCCAATGAATCAATGACCAGGTCTAGGTCTGTGTTGGAGAGTCTTGGATAAAATTTCCTGAGGTGTCTCACCCCTCTTTCAATTGTCCCTGACAGTTTAACTTGTGATGATGGCAGTTTTCCAACAGAACTGGGTGCCTGGGTGTCTAGCCCATTGCATTTCCACTGTGCCCCAGAGCAATACCACCCAGTGCTTCTCTAAATGTCAACTTTGATGAAGAGTCTCAGGGAAGAAATCAATAAAAGGTTCTGCCATGATATTGAGTCTCTGGGATCTGCCCAAAAATGCCAGGTGTTGATGCTGTTCTTGCCAGTTAAAGCTTGTCTTCATTTTTTAAAAATCAGTTTCAAATAGGGTTAGCATCAGTTTTCAATTTCCCAGTTAAGTTCACTTTATGTGATATCATCCAGAGAAAGGTAGAAGCCGTACAAATGGAGGAGATCAAACCGCAACTAAAATTTCAGTCAAGCATCATCTTGGTTTACCAAAAGCAATCATGGCATGACTGATTTCTACAAAGGTTTCAAGAAGTATATAAATATCACATCACAACAACTTCTTATACTGCCAGTGGTGTGATGAAATGACAACCAGATGCATAGGAGAAAAAAATCCCTTCCAAAAAGAGACCCAGAAATTCTGCGTGTTTTGCCCACTGTTCCCTTCACAGTCTGTCATTTGGACAAGGAGCCTAATATGTAGATTTACAGGGATTAGTCAAGGGATTAGCACAAACACAATCCTCCTATAGCTTCCCAGTGTCAGGTAATTAAATCAGAATGTCTAGCTCTTGGGAAATATTTTGTTTTGGATGCCTTGTGTTTTCCAAGTGGCAACATTCCAGCTAGCATCAAATTAAAACCACAGTAACCTTTCCTCAAACTAAAAATATAGCAGTAAAAGGAGACATATCTCTATATTGGTAGACCTGGATGCAGAAAATTTTTAGAAGTAGTGATTTCTTTCACAGTGTCATCTATCATCCCTCTCTTCCAAGTTTTACCAACATTACAAAGATCGGTGAGGGAGAAGCAGACAGGCAAAAGTGGCTGGAGGGACATCTTGATATAATAATTGACCAGGACTGGAGAAACCCAGATTCAACATTTCAATGTTGAGTTTGATGGGTGTAATTAACCAAGTCATTGTATCTAAACCCCAACTTTCCCAAAAGGTTTTCTGAGGCTAAACATTGACAGAACAACCATGTATACTAACTTGATTTTATTGAAATGCATTGATGTCTCCTTGGTTGACATCATGAATCTTTTCATCCAAAATTTAGGCCTTCAGGGTTTTTCTGTTTGTTTTTGGTCTACTTTGCATGGGACTTGGTGTGAAACAAATTTTACATATTAGGTGCTATCAGTCTGACGTTTGTTACATTCAAATTATAAGCAAAATAACATCAATCAAGACAGTGCTGAATTTTCTAATGTTTTATAAATCAAACAGTCTTGTACATGCTAACTTTGAATTTTAACATTTCAAAAGTATAAGCATTGTATACATCTGGGAAGGTTGATAAATTGTGGATTTACAGGACTGAAAGTATATAATGTACAGTTGCCTTGAAATGATTGGTCACATTCACTGGTATTTCTCTGTCATTTATAAGTGCTCATGAGATATCATTAGGTTGGATCACTTTCTCTTCTGATTTCGTAAACATGTGATATAGTACATATGTATTTCATTTTTATCTCACAGGTGATAAACTAACTGACCAAGATGCTACCAAGCTTCTCAGCACAAGTTCTAGTATACGCTCCAACTCATCCATTCATTCCTCGGTATCAAGAAAAAAGCCAGACCCTGGTAAGATGAGTTTCTGCTTTTTCAAGCAACATAAATCACACTATATAATTTAATTTTAGTTTCAAACATTATATTTTTAACCCATTAATGTAAAAATATTGAAGTTTCTGAAAGCCTTTTTAAAAAAAAATGGCAATGATACTGATTGCTCTTATTTGTAGTCTATGTTCATAGACATGCAAACATATTGAGACCTTGAAGGACAAGCTGTAATATCACACAAACACACATCCCTACAGATCCGAGACAATGTTGGTGGTAGAATTACCACCACCAACCAGAAATGGTGTTTCATCCTGGTTTTGTTGGCTGCATAAAGTTTTAATAATTTTTAGATTTGGCTAGATTTTTAGATTTGGCTAGATTTGTGTTGTGTTTTAATATTAGATGTGAAGTAATTGATCGGTTATGTTATCATTTAATTTTTGATTCTGTGTTATAACTTTGTGTTATATGTGGATTTATTTCTGGGAGTTGGTTGGGTTGTTTGTTTTTGTTGGTTTATTACGGCATTGAATGCTTGCCATTCTTTTGCTGGAAACTGCCCTGAGTCCCCTCGAGCAGATAGGTGCAGGATATAAATAAAGTGTTGTTGTTGTTGTCAATGTGCTTTCCGAAGGATTGTCCATGACTGAAAACAGAAGGGGGTGATCCACCTTTTCCCTTCAGCCACCTTTGCCCAAAATACCTATTCTGGACGCTTGAAGACTCCAGAACAGATTTTCAGTATTACGGAAGTCTATTTGTGGTAGGAATCAAAAACAGTGATACCACTATTACCTTCATATTGGACGAAGGCCAATATAAATACAATACTTATTGGTATTTATCAATATTCCCAATCCTGTAATGGAAAATGACATATAAATTTCATCCATTTCCTTTTATAGTGATTTTTGTAGAGTACAGGGCAGACAAGCATTGCTCTCAAATGAATAAAGCCTAAGCTTTCAAAACTTTTTCACTAGTAAGTGTATTTTGTTGCCTAAGCAAGCCTAAATTAAGAATTTAGGTAGAAAAATCAATTTCACTTAGAAAAATTGACTTGTTTCTCTGCAAATGGAAGATCTCCTTCCACTAGTATTGAGAATTGGGACTGGTTTAATGTCTCCTACTGGAGGATATGGTAATGTAGTATTTTTCCATTTCTCCCCTTGCCCATGCAAAACACAACTGACTTTTCATAATGTTCTCTAAGATCCCCCAATAGCATAGGAAAGTGCACCAGAAATACAAGGTGACAGGAGACAACTATATTTCTAATCCCTTACTCCATCAACAGGAGAACTCCACTAAGTAAAATCTTGGGTTAAAATCATTAGGCATTTTGGACTGGATCTTATTGGGGGCACTTTTGTGTTCACCAGGTTCTCTCTTTGAATGTAGCTTCCCTCACTACATCCCTACTTGTTCAACATATCTGCTACTCCCTAGAAACAAAGCAATGGGGAACTATAATGGGAGCAAGTAGCCACATGGTGGTTGTCATTTTTAGGTCCCAGGTCACTTTATTCTAGTCCACAATATTAGCTAATAAATTAACAATCCTGAAAGCAAGTTCCACTGAGTCTTCTGACTTTCTCTCCAAGAGATTTCCATACATTGAAATCTTAAATAAATTTTATTTAATTAGATAATTGATATAATTTGTTGTTGTTATAAAGAAATAAAATAAATTAAAAATTATTTGAGAATCTTCTTGAACATGTGTGCTACTAAAATATATATACATGACATTTATTTGTATTCATCACATTGGTACTTAGCAGTGCTATGGCATTTCTATTTGCTGGTCTTTCATTCATGTATTGCAGTCTCTCTGAAGCTATGCATGAGCTTGTTTGTATACTGATGCCCATTGAATTCTGCTTAGCATTAAAGCTTGAGAAGAGTGCATGGAAAGAAAGGCTTTAAAATGGTGAACTACATGATTCTTTTAATTCCTTTAAAGGACATTGGGATTCATGACATGTGCATAAAAGGTTTGCTGCTGGCAGTTAAGACATCCACTCAAGCAAAAGAGCAATTGCATCATTCATTAATTTAAAAATTGCACCATAAATATACAAGACTTTGAAGAATTAGGACAATAAAGTTTAATTATTCTTGTTGCTTTATAGCAATTCCTAGAAGCAGGGTAGGTACAGTTATTTCTGCCTCTAAAAATATACAGTTCTCTTTTATTATATTTTAGGGCCCCATGTATAAGAACATTGGTTGGGCATGAAGATGGGCAGAAGATTGAAAACATATATTTTGTTAGGAACTGCTGTGTGCAGATATATATAATATTTGAGATGCTGCAAACCAGCTCTTCCCTACTCTGTGTATGTAATTATGAGGGATACAGCCGGAAATAAAGTACTGGTACTGTCATTCATTCTCAACTCAATCATTATTCTCAGAGCAGCCAGGCAGCCATCATCCTGGGCATTAAACATGTAGAAATCCAATTTTCCCTGTGAAGAAAATCCCCTTCCTTTTCCCACCGGTTGACATATTAAAATAAATAGATGTAGGGATGAATTTTGAAACACGTAACATCACAGTTCTCACAAAAATACCTCCATGGAGGGCTCAAAGGTGCAGCTGAGTGTCTTGACTAAAAACAGTTTCTAGACGCTTTCATCTCTACTAGGAATAAGGACCTCATCTCATGGAGGCCAAGAAGAAGGGGCACAGCAGGGGAAACTATAGGGCAGCATACCACTTAGTGCCCTTACCATCTTTGGTCATGGGATTCCTTCCCACAATCCCTGGCTTCCTCCTGCTTCTTTCCCAGCTTCTTCTATGAGAAGTTGGTGTTTACCTGACTCCTCAGGGCTCCATCTCTCTGTATTGCTAATTCAGAGCCCAAATTTATTTATTTATGTATTTATTTATTTATTTATTTATTGCATGCACTTTTACCCCGCCCTTCTCCCCCCAAAGGGGAACTCAGGGTGGCCTCACACAAGCACCATATGATACTGTCAACAAGTCATTAGAAACCATTAAAACATTAAACATCATTAAAACACATTATACAATTCATTAGACAGTAGATTATACATGCCAGTAAAACCAAATCGAAGTCTAGGCAGATTCAATGTCGTAAATATCCTAAGTCTTTTTTCTAAATAGAGCCCTGTAGGAAGTAGTCGTGCATTATCTGATGGGCTCTGACAGACTTTGTGCCAGCAGCGTGCTGGTAGCACCAAGACACGGGGAGAAGACACTTCTCAGCCTCCATGTGATGAGGTTATATGTCTTTTGTATACAACAGGGATAGTTTGAAGCACTGCCTCATTGTTTGAGAAGTCAATTTCCCCTCCAGCTGCTGTGTAGATTGTTGCTAAACTCAGAATAGGAGAGTCTAAGGAGATGAGACATAATGTCACAATTCCTGCTAATCAAAACATTTCTGGGGTTTTTACTCCATGATCTCTGGCTCTACTACATACATTAAATACCTTTGGCAGAAGACCTTCATTGATCCATTCTTTAGGTCGCTAGTTTCCCCTTTCCTCATCATTCAATTGGTAAAGCAGTAGCCATATCCATAAAAAACAACTGACATTGCTCTCACTTTGGTCTGTTTTACTAACACTGCTTAATTATGGCATCTGATTAGATATTCCCTCAATATAATACCATGCCCAAACACTGTAAAGATACTTAACTGAAGGAGAAGCATACATTGTGGCGAACTGACTTAACTGCCTTGCTATGCTATTGTTTGGTCTAATGCTGAAAGCATGCAAGAAATAAAAAAAGCTCAAAATAACCCCTTTCAGCTCTTCCCTGTCTATGTTTTGTGTTCTTTTGCAGTTCTTATCGCTGAAGCTCATGCCTTAAATTTTTGCTTGAGAAGTGTAGCTCTTAGCCATTTTTCTCTTTCTGATTTCGTGGTGTGCGGGTTCCTCCGCTAACAGTGGTGTCTTGTAACGTTATACAGTAGCTACACCACCCGACCTTCCACGACCTCCCTTAGCTCCCGCCAAACCTACACCAGTACGAAGAAAACCATTGCCGCCAAACACCGTGACTGGTAAACCTGGGCGCTCAGGTATGTAAAATGTTCTGGCAGTGGATTGATTGATTTATACATTTATTTCTCATTTATGTTCATAAGACAGACAGTTCTCTTTTGATGTTTTCAGGCTGTTTGCACACTGTGTATAACATTCTCCTTAGATTTGCAATCAGTTACTATTCTCAGTGCTTTAAGAAAGGATACATATCTAATTATTTTAATGGTGGTATGGTTTAAGTGGTTTTTACTGATATTTTAATGGTTTTAATTTTTTCAGTTGGTTTTGGTGATATTGTTATCCATATGAACAAATTTCCGGGGGGAAACATGTTGAGGATATGCATTCTTTTGCTATAAATGCATTTTTCCAAGCCCTTTACCAAAGTGATTTGATACATTTTGATAGTTTTGATCTGTGCATAATATTTTACTCCCAGCCAACAATGTGCTGCCACTATAATTCTCTCTCTCTCTCTCTTTGGATTTTGTACCTTTTAGAAACTCCACAAAGTGAAATAAATCAAAAGTTTTTACTAGAGACCAAATGTTATAGCTTTCTCGGTCCTGGGCATGATATGTGGAATACCTATCATGATTGTCCCTGAACGTCCCTCTCGCTTAGCAGCTCCTTAGTTTACCAAGGAGCTAACAGTGATGAAGCAAGTGAGACAGAGTGCTACTGGCAGGAGACTCAGGACGAATCGGGCCAAACACGGGCTAGAGCCTCCCTTATGACCTACTCTGTGGCAATGGAGGCAGCTGAGAAGTCTTACTCGACTGCCTGCATTGGACCTGCAACTAATAGACCAGCAGGGCTGTTCCGAGTGGTCAGAGGGCTCCTTCACCCTGATTCTCAGGGTGGGATCCGTGGCCAATTGGCGGCTCAGTGTGGTGATTTCGCACACCATTTTGCATACATAGTAGCTCAGATCTGCTCCGTCCGAATTTTGTGATGGTTTTGTGATGTTACAATTAATATGTTTATTGTATGGTTTTATATTTGCCTATGTATTACAATATATTGATTTGTTGTTTGATGAATTTTGTTAATTTGGTTGTTGAGTATTATAATACATCAGGTAGTAGGCATCTTATTTAACTTATAGGAATGACTGTGATTTTAACTAATGTTTTATAATGCTTATTGTTTAATTTTTGTTCACTCATGCTTTGGCTTATTTTGTTTTGTCTTATATTGATCTGATGAGTTATTGTTTTGTTTACTTTTTATCTTCTATATATTTTTATTGTATTTATCCATGTTGTAAGCCGCCCCGAGTTCCTTCGGGGAGATGGGGCGGGGTATAAATAAAGTTTATTATTATTACATTATTACTGTGTTTTTCCATGTTGTAAGCCACCCCGAGTCCCTTCGAGGAGAGGGGGCAGGATATAAATAAAGGTTATTATTGTTATTATTATTTTTATTATTATTACCTTCAGCATCCAAAAAAACCCAGGATTGCCTTGGATTAATTTGAACTAGAATTTATATATGTGTTAAGAGCTCTAGCAAATTCTAGAGAAGAAGAAATAGGCCATCATATGGAAATATGTGTTTCTCAATAGAGGATTTCCAGTACAGAAGTGTAAGGAATTCAAGAAGACTTCTTTTAGTTTTTCTTGGATTTTTTAACTTTTAAAAACATCTTATTTTTCTTTCCTTCATCATGTAAAAATAATTTTTCATTATGCATTGTATGAAGTGACACCCAAAATAAATGAAGGGAGTAGTCAGACCTTTTGCTAAACTTACCAGGAGCTTCTGAATTTTGTTGGCAAGACAAGGTTTTTAATACACTCCCTTTATTCATCTTAATTAAAAGTATCAAACTGTTTCAAATCTCCCAGATATATAGAAAAGCACTTCTAACAAGGAATGACAAATAACCTCATTCAGATTTACTTATATTAAATCTCTCAGCACTTATTAAAGTTGTATAAAAGTTATAACTTTTGGTAGTTTATCTCCTGTTTTTCATGAAGGGAAGAAATTTAGCTTTTGGGTGTCTTCTTGATCCAGCTATACTTATTATTTGTGTTACTTCTTCCCAAGGGGCTATCAATTGATTATTTACAGAAGAAATTTAATGGAGTAGAAGCAAAATAGCAATGGGGGAAACATGCATTTATTTTATATATAAGTGTGTGTGTGTGTGTGTGTGTGTGTGTGTGTGTATAGGCTTTGTTGTTATTTTTAATTGCCACCAAATCAACTTTGACTTATCACAACTCTATTAAAGGGATGGAGTGGGTAAAGATCATATGTCGTCCATGGGACAGTCTTTTCTTGCCCCTTTTTAACTTACAAGATCCACCCATATTTAACCATTTTGTAGATGGTTTACGGCAGAAATAAAGAGAAAGATATTAGAAGATTGCATGGTTATTTGGCAGAGAGAAAGCTATAAGCCAGCAAGTATTTAAGCAAGTTCAATCTAAATTTTGTACAACTTATACTTAAGTGAAAATCTCTACCTGCCTATATATCTCTAGAATGACTGGAGATAATCTCTGAAAGATTATATCCCTTCTATGACCTATGAATGTTTTCTACAGAATCAAGGCTGCTGTGATTTGAATTTGCCTTTCAGATTTACTTTTATTTCCAAACAGGAAATATCTTGATGCCACGAGCGCCTCCACCTTCCACACCAACTTCCTTGATTAAGCCTGCTGGGCCAACGGGTCATACAAAAACAAGCTCTCATAAAAAGCCACCTACAGCAGCTTCTTCTCCAGATTATAGTAAGAACTGTGGTTTCATATTTTGTGGGTTTTCTCTGCCTTTGGCGGGGTTGTTGTTAAACTAGCAAAATAACATAGCATTCCAGCAGAATCAATATTTCAAATGACAGCGACTCATAATGCTCCATCATTCTAAATTCCAGCCAAGTTTCACCAGCCTTTTGTTTTGGCATCTAATGGTTGCCTGTTGTCCCTCTGAGTCCCTCTCCAGAGGTGAGAAGGACGGCATATAAATGATAGAAATTTATTTATTTATTTATTTATTTATTTACTATACTTGTATACCGCCTTTCTCAGCCTATCGGCAACTCAAGACATTTAACAACAAGTCAGTACACACAATAACAAAATACAGATTAAGCATTAAAACAATATAAAACCACAATAGAAATAATAAAGCCAACATCATTATCATTAGCGTCTCCTAGTTAAAAACATTGTCCAAATTCCTTTGCCAAGTAATTCCATTTCCTATGTCAGTTACTCTGCATTTGTAAATGCTTGCTCATATAACCATGTCTTAACTTGTCTCCGAAACATTAAGAGTGAGGGAGCCGATCTAATCTCCTTAGGGAGGGCATTCCATAGCCAAGGGGCCACCACAGAGAAGGCCTTGTCTCTCGTCCCCGCCAAACGCACTTGTGATGAAGACGGGATTGAGAGCAATGCCTCCCCAGATTATCTTAAAGTCCTAGATGGTTCATAAGAGGAGACGTGTTTGGACAGCTAAATTGGGCCAGAACCCAACTCACTTTAGAAATAAATAAATAAATAAATAAATAAATAATAAACCTTTCAAATCCTACACAGTAATCCTGCAAATTTGAGAAGTTATCCTATGGGTAATAATGGGAGAGGAAATGAGGAGGAAAGACATAAAATAAACTCAAGTTCAGATTAGGGTTAGGGTGCACGTTGATGGGGTGGGCACCAGCTTCTGATCAGTGAACTTAAAGTTTTATCACACTACACTGGTATAATATTATCATTCTGTTTTAACTGCCAGGGCAATATCCTCTGGGATCCTGGGATCTGCTGTTTAGAGAGAAACATCTAGGATTCTCATCCAGAGAGTCTTGGATTCACTACACCTGGGATGCAGCCATAGCAGTTTAAGTGGAATAATGGCACTGAGGGCCCTTCTACACTGCCATATAAACCAGATTATCAAAGCAGATAACCCACATTATCGGTTTTGAACTAGACTATATGAGTATACACTGCCATATAATCCATCAGGTAATCTGGATTTTATATAGCAGTGTAGAAGGGGCCTCAGTGGAAAACAAAAGTGCAGTCATTTGCAGGAACCAGTAACAAAATGTAGTTTCCCATTATTCAATAGAAGCCCAGAGAAGTCATAAGTAATGGCTAATTAATAAAAGTACATAGGAAACTGCTGCTGTTGTGTTTGTGTGTGTCTTTGTATTGACTCCAATTAATGACAACTGCCTTCCCATTAGACTGAGATAGTGTGATTTACCCAATGTCAAGGAAGCTATTCTCTCTCACCTATAGCTTCCTTGAGGAGGGGGACTCCCCTTGTAAACTCATTGCTTGATTGACATTAAAGGTGGCTATAATATAGGGATAAGGGAACATCCTGAGGTTAATATTTGTTGTTACGTGCCCTCAAGTTGACTTTGATTTAGGGCGATCCTAACCTATCACTAGGGGTCCCTGGTGACGCAGCGGGTTAAACTGATGAGCTGCTGAACTTACTGACCAGAAGGTTGGTGGTTTGAATCCAGGGAGCTGGGGGAGCACCCACTGTTAGCCTCAGCTTCTGCCAACCTAGCAGTTCAAAATGTGAGTAGATCAATTGGTACCACTTCCACAGGAAGGTAACATGCAATCATGCTGGCCACATGACCTTGGAGGCATCTACAGACAACGCCGGCTCTTCAGCATAGAAATGGAGATGAGCACCACCCCTCAGATTCAGACACAACTAGACTTAATGTCAGGGGAAACATTTAGTTTTACTTTAACCTATCACAGGATTTTCAAAGAAAGATTTCTTTAGGGAAGATTTACCACTGTAGTATAGTTGCCCTACTCCACAGTTTTTTAAAGAGAGTATTGGAAAATAAACATACTTTGCCTTTGAATAAAATATTACATTACTTAAAGGCATTTTAGAATTATGTCATAAATGCATATTCTAACTCTTGCTTATGTAAGTAGGATGTATATATCTAATTCAGAATTTGGCCCATTACATTCTTTACTATATTTACCAGCATAAATTCATCAGGCCTAATTTTGCTTGGCATGTTCCACTTGGCTAGAGTAACTGGTGTCTGCATCTTTCCCTGGATATTAAAGAACATGCTCTAAAAAAGAGAATTGGCTCAGATTTGCTATCAACATATTTTAAGTGTTGCTAGGTTTAGGATATGCTCCCTGAGGAGGCAGACAATGAGTGAAATGACAGCAGTATTGGTGAAACTCGAATCCATTTTTTTAGAGCTCTGAGGAGGATTATGTATATTATGCATGAAGTGACTCCAACAGCAATAATGAGCTCAGTCATTTGGGTTATGATTATCTTTGTTTTGGCAGTGCAAAGAAGCATGTATTTTCCATCACAGCCAAATCCAGCTCACCCTGAAGAAAAAGCCAACATGACTCCTAGCATACACCAAGGAGAGGATTTAAAGGACTGTTTGAGATTAAAATGCGAGATGAAATATAAAGTGTCATTTTAACTTTGCAAAGCACTATTTTGGTTTTCTTCTCCTTAGGTAATCCAATGTTCAGCTCACTTCCTACAACAGAGACTGATGTTGCAGGCACACCAAGGTATACAGGTATGACTAAAACATCTGCAGTTGTAAGGTACTGAATGGATTTGTTTTGCTTCGGATTCCAGAACAAATAATGTTTTATAAATCTCCACTTCATTTTCCTTCACTTGTTCTCTGATATACAGTTGATAGCTTAGTTACTGGATTTATCCAGTCCACATGTGAAATATCAGGGAAATAACTATGTAACTGGTCATAGCATTGATAAGTGTTAATTGCAAAATGAGAGGAGAAGATGGATGTTCTCGATGAAAAGATTTTTTTTAAAGCAGCCATGTAAAGAAGTTTAGAGTTCCATCTCCATACAACTACGAAATCTATATTGTAGTTACAAAATGAGTTTGGAAAGCAAGCAGAATGGAATATTGCCTCCTTCTCCGCTCATGCAAAAAATAACAATTTCTCTATGATTAGTAAAACAGAGGTTAGGCTGAACCTTTCTGCCTGGTGGACTAATTTTCTGTTTGGATGTATATTTATATATATAGTAGGTTAGGGCCATGGTGCTGCAGCGAGTTAAACCCCTAAGCTGAAAACTTGCTGACCAGAAGGTCGGCAGTTCAAAGCCTCAGGATGGGGTGAACTCCCGTTGTTAGCCCCAGCTTCTGCCAACCTAACAGTTTGAAAACATGCAAATGTCAATAGATCAATAGGTACCACTTTGGTGATACTACTCCACGCAGTCATGCCAGCCACATGACCTTGTCTACAGACAACACTGGCTCTTTTGCTTAGAAATTGAGATGAGGACCACCCCCCAAAGTTGCACCTGACTAGACTTAATGTCAAGGGGAGACCTTTACGTTTAGGAGGTCAAAGAAAAAAAGATGTGCCTTTAGAAGTGCTACACATATATAGCCTGACCTTTTGAGGAATTTTGCAGCTGAACTAGGGATAAGAATAGATCTGATGTATCTTTAATCCTTGATAGAAAAGGGAATTCAAGAGGTGTAGGATTCCCGATACCCTAAGCTTCACTCTCTGCTTGTTTGCCAAGAAAGAAGCCTTTCTGAGTTGTGAACATGATGAAACGTCAGTTTAAAATGTCTATTACTTTCTACTCCACTGATTTGGCTACTGTGTGACACATGTTTTGGGTTAATCCCAAAGATATCCAGTAGATAGACAGTAATGACAGATATCCTGCTGATTCAGTGAAACTTCCTCTGTAGGAAGCATGTCAGAGTTGCATTCTTGTAATAAAATCTTTTAACCCAGCACTTTGATATATGCTAGTTGACCATTAAAACGCTTTTTGTAGAGAAGGTTTTGATTATGGAAACCTATTGCATGAAGCATCATTTTAGAAAGTCCATATGCTATTTGTAAAAATGATGTATGTATGTTGTTTTTCTAGGTGACCATGTGAAGTACATGAAAAAAGAAGAAGATGTACCATGTTCCATTACTGATACACTCCAACACTTTCCAACAGAGGATGGCGAGAATATAGACACAGCCACTACTCCTCCACGAAAGCCTCCAACTAACCTCACTGTGGTGACTGTTGAGGGTTGCCCATCTTTTGTCATACTGGATTGGGAAAAGCCACAGAATGAAACTGTTACAGGTTAGGTTTTTCTCCTTTTCCACCAGAAAACATCTTACTTTAAAACTGGATCCCTTCTCCCACTTTAGTCATTGTACATTATGGGTATAAACACAGGACCTGGGGACTCTTGTCAAAAGCTACTCAGCTGTAGAATGTTTCATTTGGGACTCTGCGTGAGTCATAATCTGTGTGTGTTCACAATGTATTTACACATAGGCAACTTCTGATTTTACTTTATAATAAGAACAATCAAGTACTGATTATACAAATGTGACTAGGAGACAAAATGAGTAAAAATGAGTTTGAATAAGATCCTTCTATATTTTAGAATATAAAGTTGTGTCAACTGAAAATGGGAGCTCTGATGTAAGAGACACATCCATTATAACGACAAATCAAACCCATTCTACAGTGGAAAACCTGAAACCTAACACAAGGTAAGGCTGTTAGAAAATTCAGGAATTGTATAGTATACTCAAAGTAAGATTATATGCATGCAAGATGATTTCAAGTGGGGGCCCATCCAAACTGGTCCCATACTGTGGGAGCTCCCAACGGTTTTACCAAAACCCTGCTTTGTCCTGAATTAATTTGATACTCCATTACCCAGGGGTCTTCCTGAAAAGCCCAGGTCTAATGGAGTATGGGCCTTGTGGGGACTGACCTTTCAGTAATCCCGAGACAGATCACAAATCACAAAACTGAAAATTACCTAATAGTTTGCATGACAGCTTTCACTTTATACTTAGTCTAGGCTCCTTAAACTAGTATCCCATTTTAAGTAAATGTGTGTGCGTTCTAAAACTCTGAATTCAAACCTCTGTTAGATGCAATAAGGAAGAGCTTTATTTTGAGGAATGTCCTCTGCAGTTCCCATTCCTATTTCCCCTTCCTGTATTGCTATCACTATTAATAAATGCAGTTAATGCCATATAACCGATCCAACTCTTAAGCATGCTTGGATAGGGCAGGGAAATGTATCAGATGCTTAGAAGATGCTTTACCAGCATCTCATAGAATCATAGAATCAAAGAGTTGGAAGAGACCTCATGGGCCATCCAGTCCAACCCCCTGCCAAGAAGCAGGAATACTGCATTCAAATCACCCCTGACAGATGGCCATCCAGCCTCTGCTTAAAAGCCTCCAAAGAAGGAGCCTCCACCACACTCCGGGGCAGAGAGTTCCACTGCTCAACGGCTCTCACAGTCAGGAAGTTCTTCCTCATGTTCAGATCTTCTGTATTCTGCTTATTTAGAACTAAGCACCAGGTTGTAGCTGAAAGCTGGAAAGTGTGCATCATTTATGCACAGAACAAGAGTTGGTACAGTTGTGCCCCTTGCACACACTGAAAGGTATTTCTTGCTGTAATCCAAGATTATCTCTATAGAATAATGTATCTTCACATATCAGGCAAGTGGCAAAAACAGGACATAAAGCTTATTATGAGCACAACATGACATTGTAAAACATTTCTGACACCATTTGTCAGGATCACTGTGAGTGCTATAAACAAATGGCACATCCATTAGAAAATATATAATGGATAAATGAGGGAGGATGTTGTGGCATGTCCTGTGATATGCATCTTATTATTATATTTGAAAGCATACATGAAAGTGAAATGGAAGACTAACTTCTTCTTTGGAAGGATTGGAACAGAGGCTGGATAGTCACCTGTCAGGGGTGCTTTGAATGTGATTTTCCTTCTTCTTGGCAGGGGGTTAGACTGGATGGCTTGTGAGGTCTCGTCCAACTCATTCTAACAGAGAGATTTGCTTTGGACATTAAATTTTTTTCAGGAGCGGAAATCTTCAAACTTGCTGAGTTTTTCCCCCTTTGATTTTGTTGGGTGGCTGTATTACTGGAAAATTCTGCGTATTTCCAGTAATACAGCCACCCAACAAAATCAAAGGGGGAAAAACTCTGCAAGTTTGAAGATGCAAAACTGATGCAGGTGTTCTATTTTCTCATTCCCCGATATGCCTGATAATAAGTACTTTTCATTGGTTAATTTAATTTTTGTTCCTTTGGTGGGAAGTGCTTTGGCTTTTGAATCTGGAGAGCTGTCAAAAATAATGTTTGCAGTGTTTGATAGTAAGGGAAAATAACATTTTCAGACTTATGAAAATGTAAGCCACTAGGAAAACTATCTACCCATAATTTGGTTGGTTCGACATTCATCAAATTATTAAATGTTGTTGGACTGAATGAAAATTGGCTGGTTAGTCAATCAAAACAACATGGCACAATGTGGATCTTTTTATTCAAGTGACTTGATCTTTTCTTTTCCATTGGAAAAGCATGAAACAATTCACAAACAATAATAAAATAATCACATCACTTCCACCCCATGAACACAGGAAGGGAACATTGTTATAGATGCACCATTTATACCACTGCACGACAGAACAAACAGTGTGGCAACTTCATAATCAGCCACAACATGCAACAGCATAGGCACTTAATGATGCAGTCTGCCCTTGGGAAATCGCAATGCAAAGGGGTAGTGGCTCTCCCAAAAGAGCAATGGGGAACTAATAACCCAGTATGGAGGGCAGTGGAAAGTCCTGTACTGGGAAATTGGTCCAACTTTGTGTGGTGATCCATTGTGCAGTGGGAACCCTGTTCTGCAGCTGCATATCTTGTACAGTACCCTGTCTTGGGATGGAACGTCCCTTTCAAAAGAGGATTGTTTGTGTCTTGTTATGCATCACCACAATTGTCTTAACATCATTACATATTGTTTCAGTGCTGTGATTCCATTGTTGTAAAATATAAGTATATCATAGGCCAGGATGCAGGATCTTGGATTTCACTGGAAAACCGGATATTGCTTGCATACCTGTCCTTCAATCATCTCAATATCTGGTCTTCTGTAGATTTTACAGGTTAATTGTTTCCTGCTTCTGAAATGTGAATTCCTGGAATAGTATTCTGTGAGTCTCCATGCAGGTGGGCCACTTGCAGGCTTGCTTGTCATCTCTGGCACTCCTCTCTTTAAAAACATTTTATTATGTAGAAATATGCAACATTCTGCCAAGAATCATACAACTGTATATTTGACTTTCATTATTTTTCATTTATAACTGCACTTGCATAATTTTCCATATGAAAGAAATAAAAACAAATCAATGTGACACCTACAACTGCATGCTGGAAAACTTATACAGACTTTTCCTAAGATTCCCATATTTTTTATTCAGGTGCCCTGTGGAATAAATGGAAAAAATTGTCTGAATCTGTCATGACTCAGAATAGTGTAATAGTTATATTAAATATATACCAGTGTCCATGTGTTGTCTATGTGGGTGGTAACAGACAGAACTTTCATTGCAGGGTAGATGTACACCAGAAGAGACTGACAGGGGTGTTGGCAATGTTAAAGAACTCTGATTATTTGTAATGAGGCAACAGGGATTAATAACACATAACAAGGCACTGCACAAAAAGTCTTGTCGCACAACAGGGCTTCCCACTGCACAACAGGACATGACACAAAGTGAGAATTATTTTCCAAGTTGGTGCATGACTTTCACTGCCCTCCATTCTACACTCTTCAGGAAAACTTGGATGTACCCCTGGATATATTATGGTAACTAGGATAGTACTTTTTAATTTTAATTTTAATTATTACATTTGGCCCGGCCATTGTTTTTAACTGCGTTATTGCGTGTTGTTAATGTTATTGCTTGTTTTTTGTTTTATTTTGCTGTATTATTGTTGTTGTTTTATTGTTGTATTTTGAGCTCGGCCTCGTGTAAGCCGCACAGAGTCCTTCGGGAGATGGTAGCGGGGTACAAATAAAGGATTATTATTATTATTATTATTATTATTATTATTATTATTATTACTACATCCTGATCATGTCTACAGTCTCAGTTTGAGGTCTGAGAGGAAAGCATTTAGCCCATGGGTCACCAATATTACATTACCTTTATGCAATTTTAATCTATGTAAATATTTGTGATCTCATCTTAGCTCAGTGCCCTTCTCTCAGATATCAGGCTCCTGGGTAGTGTCGACATGTCACTGACTATTCATGCTATATTAGCTATTTGAAATAAACACAATTTTTGAAAAATCATGTCAGAAGCGACTTGAGAAACTGCATGTTTTTTCTGGTGTGTGAGAATTTATCATCTGCAGGGATGTTGCCCAGGGGACACCTGGATGTTTTGCCATCCTATAGGAGGCTTCTCTCATGTCCCTGCATGGGAAGCTGGAGTTGACAAATGGGAGCTCACCCCGTCTCATGGATTCAAACCACCGAACTTCAGGTCAGCAGTTCAGCTGACACAAGGGTTTAACCCATTCCGCCACTGCGACTCCAATAAACATAATGCATAAATGCCAAACATTGACTCGATTCCCATATGGTCCTCAGAGTAACTCCATCCAGACTACTTGGTACAGATTGATATACTGAAGATAAAATATAGATATTTCCAATTTAAACAACTTTCTGTGGTTAGTGTTTTAAGATAGCAACAAACTGTAATCCTTGCTATAACCAGTAAATGTCACAACATTCTATTGTTGTGCGCCTTTAAGTTATTTCTGGTTTGTGGCAATCCTAAACAACCTATCAAGGATTTTCTTCACAAAATTTGCTCAGAGAGGGTTTGCCTTTGCCTTCTTCAGAGGCCGAGAAAATGTTAGGTTTTCATGGTCAAGTGGGGATTCAACCCTGGTCTCTAGAGTCATAGTCCAACACCTAAGCAACTGCACCGTGCTGGCTGTCTAACAACATCATGTGGCTAAAAATGAAAACTAGTAGCATATAATATTACTGAAAACATTCAGTATTAATATAGCTCTTTACTAAACATGGCATGATCATAATACACATACCTTTCTTCTTGAGTTTTTTAACTAGCGAGTTTTAAATTGCATATTAAAACTCAGTTAAAATTCCTTCTTCTCTGTCCTATGCACTTACATTTGTCTACTGTTGCATGATTTGGAAAATAGTACCATTCCTTTGGCTTGCCAGAAATCCATATGGGATAGCAATTTCCTATGGAAAAAGTTCTTATTGCTGTATAAATAACATGCACTTAATCTATACAAGTGAATTTATTATCTTATGTGGAATGGGTTGAAATGTACATGTAGCTGATCCTCCACTTACTCCAGTTAGCTGGAAAGAAAAGGCACACAAAACCACTTAGTGGAGTTGTTGTTTGTAATACATTTCATCCCTAGATGTTGGTCCTAAGCATTTCCTTGGTTCTTCATTGTGACTCTCAACATCATACTTACCTTAAACAGCATCCTAGGATGTTTCTACCCCATCTTCAGGATGAAGCCTCATGCTGAACATCACATGATGTTGTGTGACTTCTGGTGGAGGCTCCACCTCTCAACTGGGGTGAAAGCATCACTGGATGTTTTCTCCCCAACACAGGAGGCCTCTCCAGAAGGGTGACACTTTCCTTATGTGATGATGAAAGTGTCACCGAGGGGGAGCTGCGCACAGGGTGACAGATTCGCCCCTCTCTTTTCTCGCAGAAGCCAGGCGAAGCAGGACACTTCACCTGGCTTTTCTGATGATGCATACCCCAAATGGTATCCTTCCATTGGAAATTGTTTGTTCAGTGAGGATACACATCTGTGTCATTTCATAGTTATTAGTGCTGAGGTTTAAAGCCTTAAACAACTTGGAAACAAAAACTCTCAATATGTTTTTTTCCCCTATATGAGCTTCTTTGGAATCTTAAGGTCATTTTCTGATGGTCTTTCCTGATAAAAGATCGACAGGAGAGAGTGGAACTTCTCAGTTATGGTGCTTCCTTTTTAGACCTCTTGAAAGATATGTGCTGGATAGTTATATTTATCTTTACTCCGTTTTTTAGATTTTGTGATTGCTGTTATATGACCTTCTGGCAAACAAACTAGTCCAATGTGGGCTAGGCAAAACTATGGTTAGGTGGATCTGTAATTGTTTAAGCAGATGAACCCAGAGGGTGCTCACCAATGCTTCCGCTTAATCTTGGAAATAAGTGACGAGCGGTGTGCCGCAGGGTTCCATCCTGGGCCTGGGTCTGTTCAACATCTTTATTAATGACTTAGATGAAGGGTTAGAAGGCATGATCATCAAGTTTGCAAACAACACCAAATTGGGAGGGATAGCCAATACTCCAGAGGACAGGAGCAGAATTCAAAACGATCTTAACAGATTAGAGAGATGGGCCAAAACTAACAAAATGAAGTTCAACAGTGACAAATGCAAGATACTCCACTTAGGCAGAAAAAAAATGAAATGCAAAGATACAGAATGGGTGGCGTGTGGCTCGAGAGCAATACATGTGAAAAAGATCTTGGGATCCTCGTGGCAACAAGTTAAATATGAGCCAAGAATGTGATGTGGCAGCAAAAAAAGCCAATGGGATTTTGGCCTGCATCAATAGGAGTATAGTGTCTAGATCCAGGGAAGTAATGCTATCCCTCTATTCTACCTTGGTTAGGCCACATCTGGAATACTGTGTCCAATTCTGGGTACCACAATTGAAGAGAGATATTGACAAACTGGAATGTGTCCAGAGTAGGGCGACTAAAATGATCAAGGCTCTGGAGAACAAGCCCTATGAGGAGCAGCTTAAGGAGCTGGGCATGTTTATCCTGAAGAAGAGAAGGCTGAGAGGAGACATGATAACCATGTATAAATATGTGAGAGGAAGTCATAGGGAGGAGGGAGCAAGCTTGTTTTCTGCTTCCTTGGAGACTAAGACGCGGAACAATGGCTTCAAACTACAAGAAAGGAGATTCCATCTGAACATTAGGAAGAACTTCCTGACTGTGAGAGCTGTTCAGCAGTGGAACTCTCTGCCCCAGAGTGTGGTGCAGGCTCCTTCTTTAGAGGCTTTTAAACAGAGGCTGGATGGCCATCTGTCGAGGGTATTTGAATGCAATTTTCCTGCTTCTTGGCAGGGGGTTGGACTGGATGGCCCATGAGGTTTCTTCCAACTCTATGATTCTATGATTCTATATATTTTTCTATGCTTTTTATTGTATTACACTTTATTTCATTGCATTTTCTTTTTTAGTTGTTTTTTTTTTGTAACCTGCCCATATCAGTTATGATATATTATGATACAATAAATATCTACTGGTTTTCTGTAGTATGTACTGTATATAAGGCAAAATCAAATATGTGTATCGATCTTATGTGATGGTATGTTTTTAAAATACAAAGCATTTCAAACATAGATTATGCCATGTGGGGTGAAGGAAGCATTTAGACAACTTTATTGTTAAATTTTCAAGCTATCTTAATTTTCTTAAAACTCTACAATAGTCCTCAATGGTAAGAGAATAGTATTATTGCTTTACAAAAGGTGGGGGTGATATTAAAATTCAGCATCAAAGCTCACAATTTTTATCATATTCTTTTTAGTTATGCATTTCAGGTGATACCAAGCAATCCCCTTGGTGAAGGTCCAAGTAGTGAATCAATGCCATTTAAAACTGAATCAGGTAAGAGTAGCAATAATTGTATCAATTAGTTGCAAGTCTCTTTAGGGCCAGATCCGGACAGGCCTTTATCCCAGGAGAATCTGCATTTTAAAAAGCACACACTTTCTGGGGTGGGTGCCCAGATGTTCTCTCAGGACTAGCCTGAGAGAATGTCTGGAGGCCCTACTCCCCTCCCCCAAACCCCCAGACCCCTTAGAAAAGTAATGAAAACTTACCTGTCCTCCATTACACGCCTCAGCCAGCTCTCCCAGCGCATAAAAATGGCGTGCCAGGAGAGAAGTGGGGGGAGCAAACACTAAATGGCTATTATCTGGCACTAGGTTGGAGCTGGTGCATTTCAGGGTTCAGGGGAACAAAGTAGAAAGTATAGAGCCAATGTCTGCTTAGTCTGTATCAACTACTTAACTAAGGAGTTCATTACACAAGACAGAGAAATCACAATTACAGCGGGATAGCGGCATCTTTACCTTGTGCTTATCATGTGACACCACTTCTTTCCCATTATTCTCTTGATGAGAAACAGCTTGGAAACCATTTCTGTTATGAGCACAAATAATCTGTGAAAGACCTCCTTTTGTAAAAAGGATGCCTTCCAACCATCTCCCACTGGGATAGTGTTTGGAAAGGAGAGACATCATGTGATACGTCTAGAGCAAATATACTGCTTTCCTGCTGTAGTTGCAATTTGCCTGCATCATATGATGAATTCCTGAGTAACGTTTTCTAATCCAGCCCTTCAAAACCTGATGGAAACAACATTCACTCATTCACTTCTGGCCATGCATCTGATGCTAAAGCAAGTTGTAAAGTCTAGTAAGTCAGGGATAGAGTAAAATAAGTAAAAAAATCTTAAGTGAAGTAAGTTGTGATAAGGAGTTACAGTCATTGTGGTTGTGTCACAATCATGACTGAGTAGCAATCATGAGTTCAGAATACCTAGATTTATTCATCCATAGATGTTCCATATTCATGATCTCAACTAGATATACTTAAGTATATGTAACTAAGCATATTTTTTAAAATAGCTGATAGACAATACTGACCAAATTTTAATGGCAATGTCCTGCAGTCACTGGCACTCATTTGTAAATAACTTATTAGTTCAGTGCAGTTTCCCAACTGTTCTATTCCAAATTCAGACAAAATTGTAATTGCAGAGATTATAATTTATGTCAGAAAGTGGAGGAAAACTTTTCTGGCACCTTCATGGATATGCTATTATTTTGCAGTTTGACCCTGTGCTTGTTTCTTTTTCCTCAGCGGACCCAAGAGTAACTGAGCCAATTTCAAGTAAGTTCTTTTATACATGTAGCACAGTCTGTTGAGAGCATTTTTCTGAGGTGAGATAATGTACTGCCGTATGACAGAGTGGGTTTGGAAGAGAAAGGCATTTTCACATGATTTCACTTTTTTCATCCTATACCATTTGCAAAGATGTCCCTGCCAGTTTCAATGTTTACCTGAGAACTGCCCCATCAACATGATGTGGCACTCCAGTGGCTCCGAACCAACAGGCAGAAAGAAGCCAGGCACAGCTCGTATTTTCTCGGCCTGTCATTAAATTAAAAGACAGGCTTGTGAAATGAATAGGCTGTTTCTCACTTAATAAGTGATTTAGCAGAGCACATGGCAGTGTTCTACTACTGGGCTATAGAAAATATGCCATCAGCTTCTGCTTGAGCTTTCAAAAAGTTGAGTTGCACTAGGGGGGAAAAACCTACCAACAGTTTCTGCTGGAGGAATTTATGCTCCTTATAAGGTCCTAGCAAGCAGGAAAAGATTCAATATAATCCAGGGAGGGTAGTTTTTTCATTTAGAAGATTTCTGTGGGACACTGGGTGAAAATATTATTTGGTGCTTTGACATTCTGCTATCTTCATTACATATAGCTCAGAGTGAAACATTTCGTCAGAATTTAATTTGCAAAGTTGTTTTCATCTTGTCTTCTGTTCCCGCCACCCAGCCCCCTGAAGGCAGCTTACATCACCATTAAAACAATGATATAAACAGGCAATAAAAAAAACAAAGCACTAAAAGACAGAGCCAGCAAAAATAATGGGGATGACTGCAAAAAGCTTGAAACAGTGCAAGCAATTAGCAATGCATTTTCCCCAGATGTTGAAGAGCCTATGGAGATGGACCAACTGGGTTTCATGGAAAATAAAGTTCCATAATCTGGGTGCCATACATTTTTCATGCATCTTTTTATATTTCACTATAATACAGTAGTCCCTCAGCATTTGTGGTTCATTTTGTGTGTTGTTATTATGAGCTGAACTGAGTTTGTGAAAATCAGGGGAGACTTTTATAAATAAATGCAATGTAGTTATGTTGCTCTTTCCCTCTTTCACTTGAGTACTATGTTCCTGTCACACACATATTTTTGCACATTACAGCCAACTTCTTATTTCTTGTTGTGTTTCAGTGGGGAAAGATGCCATTTGGACGGAAATCAAATTTAATTCTGATACCTATTCTGAATGCAAAGGGAAACAGTATGTCAAAAGAACCTGGTACAAGAAATTTGTTGGTGTACAACTATGCAATTCACTCCGATACAAAATTTATCTCAGCGATACACTTACAGGTATGATATTGAACACAAACGCAATGGACCATCAACTAGTAGCAATATAGGCACTGTTGGCAAAGAGCCTTGTGGAAGCAGAGCAGTATGTGTCAGTCCTGATACACTTAAAGTACCTTCTGAAAATAGCTGGTGCATGATATCATTGCTGAACAAATTAGTTGCATGATACGTTATCACATAATGAAAGGGATGTCTGTAAAACATGGGAATGGCTCACATGATGTGATCAAAAAGCTATAAGCCAGCGGTTCTCAACCTGGGGGTCCCCAGATGTTTTTGTCTTCAACTTCCAGAAATCCTAACAGCTGATAAACTGGCTGGGATTTCTGGGAGTTGTAGGTCGAAACACCCGGGAACCCACAGGTTGGGAACCACTGCATAAGCCATCACAAAGATATCAGTATGTTGTTTCACTGGTAGCATATGTCTTGAAATATGGTGTTTTAAACAGGATCCCACTGGAATGGTCATAAACCCAAAAGTCACAGTACAGAAATGAAGATTATTGGGAAATAAGTATGGCATGTGACATCATAAACCTATGGCAGACAAAAGCTATTTGGGTTACTGATACTATCCAAGTCTGAGACAGGGTCCTGCTGGCAATATTATTTGCATTACTCTCATACCTAGGAGTAGGTACGAAAACAAATGTATAGGCATTAGTCACGCATCTTTATTTGAGTGTTTATTTGAGTGTGTCTACCAATGTAAACATGCCATCACTGATCCTATAAAAATTCAGCCCTTACTGTTCTCATTTCACAAACCTCTAATGTAAGCATCTCAGCAAACAGCCATTATAAAAAAGAAAAATAGAGTGGGTTACATCTTAAGTGTTGCTCCAGTGAATGTGAAAAGGAGCCTGAAATGTCAATTTGAAAAGGTAAACACTGAAAGCCATTTCTTCCCCTAAAGCACACAAAAAAGGTAAGGGCTCTCATAGTTCGCTGTTTGAACAGATTTAGCTCAACACGATTTCCAAATATATTGTGAATTCACACCTGACTGCTTGTAGGAATCTGCCAACATTTGTCTTATTTTTTATGGTGCTTACATTTTATTAATTATTAAATTTTTTTGAATTTTTTGGATTGAAGGTGGTGCTGTTGAACGCCAGGTCTGTCAACGGAAAAACGACCTCTAGCCAGGATCTAATCCTGGATGAGCGGGCAGATCTGGCGTGCATTACGGAGACCTGGTTGGATGAAGCTGGGGGTGTGAATCTGATCCAGCTTTGTGTGCATTACGGAGACCTGGTTGGAGGAAGCTGGAGGTGTGAACCTTACCCAGCTTTGTCCTCCAGGCTTCTCCGTACAGCATCAACCGAGATCCGGAGGACGGGGAGGCGGGGTCGCAGTAGTCTATAGAGATTCCATCCATCTGACCAGGAGTCCCATCCCGCAGACCACAAATTTTGAATGCGTCCACCTGAGGGTGGGTGACCGGGACAGAATAGGGATTCTGCTAGTGTACCGTCCACCTCGCTGCACTACAGTCTCCCTACCTGAGCTAGCGGGGGTTGGTCTCGAGCCTGGCGTTGGAGTCTCAATGGCTTCTTGTGCTGGGAGACTTCAATATCCACGCCGAGGCGACCCTCACAGGAGCGGCTCAGGACTTCATGTCTGCCATGGCAACCATGGGGCTGTCCCAACAAATATCTGGCCCCACCCACTGTGCTGGATATACATTGGACTTGGTTTTCTGTCAGGGATGGGAGCAGGGTGACGGTGTGGAGGAGTTATCCATCGCTCCGTTGCCATGGACCGACCACTTCCTGATCAGATTTAGGCTCACTGCGCCCCCTAACCTCTGCAAAGGTGGTGGACCCACTAAGATGGTCCGCCCCAGGAGGCTTATGGATCTGAATGGATTCCTGACGGCTCTTGGGGATTTTCCCACCACCTCGGTAGGTGACCATGTCGAGGCCTTGGTCGCTCTCTGGAATGGGGAGATGGCCAGGGCAATTGACATGATCGCTCCGGAACGTCCCCTCTCAAGTAGCCGAGCTAAACCAGCTCCTTGGTTCACTGAGGAGCTGGCAGTGATGAAGCGAAGGAAGAGGGAACTAGAGAGCGTGTGGCGTTCGGAGCCGAGCGAGTCAAACCGAACACGGTTTGTGTCCTTTTTGAGGGCATATGCCGCGGCAATAAAAGCCGCAAAGAAAACTTTCTTTGCGGCCACTATTGCGTCTGCAAGGAACCGTCCGGCGGAGTTGTTCCGGATTGTCAGAGGTCTGTTAACTCCGCCACTTCAGGCGGGAGCCCTGACAATTCGGCCCCGGTAGCATTTGCTCGGTTCTTTGCAGACAAAGTCGCCTTGATCCGTTCTGGGCTGGACACCATGTTAAATGCAGTCTCTGAGGATGTGACACGAGCACCTGCTTGTCCTATTTTGATGGATTCTTTTCAGTTTGTGAAACCCGAGGATGTGGACAAGATACTTGGAGGAATGAGGCCCACCACGTCCATCCTAGACCCCTGCCCATCCTGGCTTCTGAAGGAGGCCAGAGGGGGATTGGCTGAGTGGGTAACGGTGGTGGTTAATGCCTCCCTTCGGGAAGGCAAGATTCCAGCGAGCTTAAAACAAGCTATTATAAAAACGCTGTTGAAAAAACCATCACTGGACCCCACTAAATTTGACAACTTTCGGCCTGTTTCCAATCTCCCCTTTTTGGGCAAAGTCATGGAAAGCGTGGTGGCCTCACAACTCCAGGTATTCTTGAGAGACACGGATTATCTGGATTCGGCACAGTCTGGTTTCAGACCGGGACATGGAACTGAGACGGTCTTGGTCGCCTTAGTGGATGATCTGCGCCGGGAGCTAGACAGGGGGAGTGTGTCCCTGTTGGTGCTCCTGGACCTCTCAGCGGCCTTCGATACCGTCGACCACGGTATCCTTCTGGGGCGCCTTGCGGATATGGGCCTTGGGGGCACTGTTCTGCAGTGGCTCCAGTCATTTCTGGAGGGCCGCACCCAGAAGGTGTTATTGGGGGACATCTGTTCGACACCACAGCCGTTGTCCTGTGGGGTCCCACAGGGCTCCATATTGTCCCCCATGTTGTTTAACATCTACATGAAGCCGCTGGGCGAGATCATCCGGAGTTTCGGGGTGCAGTGTCATCTGTACGCAGATGATGTCCAACTCTGTCACTCCTTCCCACCTGCTACTAAGGAGGCTGTCGAGGTCCTGAACCAGTGCCTGGCCGCTGTAACGGTCTGGATGAGGGCGAACAAACTGAAATTAAATCCAGACAAGACAGAGGTACTCCTGGTCAGTCGCAAGGCCGAACGGGGCATAGGGTTACAGCCTGTGCTGGATGGGGTCGCACTCCCCTTGAAGGCGCAGGTTCGCAGCTTGGGTGTGATCCTGGATTCATCGTTGAGCCTGGATCCCCAGGTTTCAGCGGTGACCAGGGGAGCATTTGCACAGCTTCAGGCTCGTGCGCCAGCTGCGCCCGTACCTCGGGAAGTCTGACTTGGCCACGGTGGTACACGCTCTGGTCACATCCCGCCTTGACTACTGCAACGCTCTCTACGTGGGGCTGCCCTTGAAGACGGCCCGGAAGCTTCAGCTAGTCCAGCGCGCGGCAGCCATGTTACTAACAGGAGCGGGACGCAGGGAGCACACAACGCCCTTGTTGTTCCAGCTCCACTGGCTGCCGATCTGCTACCGGGCCCAATTCAAGGTGCTGGTGTTGGCCTACAAAGCCCTAAAAGGTTCCGGCCCAAAATACCTGTCTGACCGCATCTCGGCCTATGAGCCCACGAGGACTTTGAGATCGTCTGGGGAGGCCCTTCTCTCGATCCCGCCTGCCTCACAGGCACGTCTGGCGGGGACGAGAGATAGGGCCTTCTCAGTGGTGGCCCCCCGGCTATGGAGCACCCTCCCTGTTGACATCAGACAGGCGCCCTCCCTTATGTCATTTCGCAAGAGCCTAAAAACATGGCTATTCGAGAAGGCCTTTAACTAAGTGCGATAACAATTGGCTGACGACTGGAACGGAATATGGATTATGAGATTGGTTTATGATTCTATGATGAGACGATGCGGATGATTTAGTTTAATTATATGATTGTGGTATTATTGATTGTTATGTAGATATTCGTTATGCTATGGCTTATTGTAAACTGTTTTTATATGTTGTACACCGCCGTGAGTCGCCCTAAGGGGCTGAGAACGGCGGTCAACAAATGCAATAAATAAATAAATAAATAAATAAATAAATAAAAATACTCTTAATATTTTCAGGTACATTTTATAATATAGGAGACCAGAGAGGACATGGAGAAGATCATTGTCAGTTTGTGGATTCATATTTAGATGGAAGAACTGGGCAACAGATTCCATCAGATCAACTATCTACCAAAGATGGTATGTCTTTAAGGGTTTATATTGCATCCTAACACAATCTACGCACACAGATTAGAGCACTCAGTTTTAAGCAAGAAACCCATATAATCCAAAGAAGAAATCCCTTTCCAGAAAAATACTATGCTACCAAATATTTTGCCTCCAAAATGTAATAAAGAGATGCCAAATATATGGTGTTCCAATTGTGATAGTACAGACTGAGAATCTCTTGTCCAAAATTAATGGGACCATAAATGATTCAAATGTATAGCTTTTTCAGATTTTGGAACACCCGGATTTTGTTATACATACATAATAAGATATTTTGGAGATGGAACACAAGTCTAGACATAAAATCTATTATTTCATATACACTTTATACAAATAATCTGAAGGCAATTTAATTTCAAAAAATGTGCATAAATCATAGACTTGGAAGAGACCACATAAGCCATCTAGTCCAACCCCTTGCAATGCAGGGAAAGCACAATCAAAGTACCCCCGATAAATGGCCAACCAGCCTCTGTTTAAAAACCTTCACAAAAGGAACTTCCACCACACTGTGTTGTAGAAAGTTCCATTATTGAACAGCTCTTATGGTCAGGAATTTCTTCCTAATGTTCCAGTGGAATCTCCTTTCTTGTAATTTGAACCCATTGCTCTGAGTCCGAGTTCCTAGGGCAGCAGAAAACAAGCCTGCTCTATTTTCCTTATGACATCCTTTCAAATATTTATACATGGCTATCATGTGTCCTCTCAACCTCCTCTGGCTAAACATACCCAGCTCTGTTAGCCTATCCTTGGCTCTGTTGAACTATCAGAAAGCAAAAGTGTTTGTCATCTCTTTTGAGATGTGTGTAAGGTGTTATGCAAGAGATGGTGAAATCATCTCTCCACTCTGTGTGTGTGTGTGTGTGTGTGTGTGTGTGTGTGTGTGTGGCAGTATTACTTTGATGTCTGTCTTAAGAGGATGACAACCATTAAGTTTACTTCTCAGTCATTTCCTGCCTTCACTAAATGTATAAGTGAGCCTACTGGTAATAGTTCTCTGGATGCTGTACAACAAAAATAGTTACAATAACCAGATCGACTTTTAAAAATCTAATAGAGAATACAGTTTCTCATTAGCACAACAATTAAAATAGGAAAAATGTAAACATCAATGTGTGTTTTTCCTGCATTTTAATAGTTTTTATTTGATTTTACTGGTTTCAAATTTTGTTGCCGCTTTATTTTGTGCACCATCTACAGAACTATAGCTAGTAAAATATATTTTACAAGAGTTAAAAGAATGCTAAGCCACAGTTTAAAATTCTTGATTTATGAAAACTCATTGTCTAACACAGACATTCAGGCTTTAGCCCTAGACATGGGGCAGACTAGATTTCTCTGTCACCCATGGGGAGAGAGGCCCACACAATGGAGAGGGAAGTCTGCCCTTGGAAATCTCCCATTCTTGGACACAGAATCCTTTCCTCTTCCTGCCATTCCATTGTGCTGGATACCAAATATATGTCATGGCATGTGTTTCATCCCCCTCTCAACCCACCAGGGTGCCCAGGGCAATTGATGTACAAGACATAAAACATGTAAAACATTAAATACACAAATAAAAGCAGTTAAAAACAGACTAGAATCCAAGTTTGAAAATAGTTTAGAACCACAGATAGTTAAAACGGCAAGAGCAGCCATCCCTAATTAAAGTTTGAAAGCCAAATGAAACAATAAAGACTTAGCTGCTCATGAGAAACTCAGAAGGGATGGGGTTAGCCTGACTTTCTTTGGGAGACGCCCAACAGTTGCAGAATTGCCACAGAGAAAAGCCGCATTTCATGTATCCACCCACCAAACTTTAGGGAGGATTGAAATACACAATGGGGCATCTACTGAGCATCCTGAATTTCAGCCAGGCTCACACAAGACGAAGAGGTATTTCAGATATTCTTGCCACAGGCTGCCTTGGAACATTGTGGGCCACAACCAGCAGCTTGAAGTGATCTTGGAATCACATTGGAAGCCAGTGCAGTTCTCGTAAAACTGATGTTACAAAATTGGTAAAACGCACATCTGACAAGAGTTTGGACATCTTGTTTTGCACTAGTTGTAACTTTTGGACTATTCAAGGGCAGCCCCATATACAGCACTTTATAGTAGTCTAACAAGGTACCCTTGGTATTAGTTGAAAGAGAGAGCTGGGTACTATCAGCATACTGATGACAACAAACTTCAGATAATGGTAGAATCCTGTTGGAAAGTTATGAATAAATAACCTACAGTTATCCATTTGTAACTGCAACATATTCACAATCCATACACAGCTCCTAGTTTAGGGGCTACATATGGACCATGAGAATCCTCTAAATCCCGCTTACCAATAAGCAACTGCTGGGATCAGCTGAGATCTGACCGCCTTGTCAATCAAGAAGCAACTGCCTGACATTCCTACTCACCCATCCCTTTCTTGACTGATCTCTGGCACAAGAGGGATTTGCAACAGCAGTCTTGTTTCTACTTATCATGCCAAAGATCACTCACAGGAGGAAGTGAGAACATCAGGAAGATACCATTTCAGTATGACAGAGGAACAGACCCATATTGGTCCCAGCAACTGCTTATTGGTGCTTGGGGGAGTCTGGCCAGAATCCAGTACATAGCACCATAGTTATTGTTTATGCATGTCCTAATGTAAAACTAAAGTGACCTTCACTCTTAGGAAAATTCTGATTTTCCATGGAATATACTTGTTTTTGTTTCCATATAATAAGCAGCTAATGGTGTTGGAAATCTCAAAGAAGCATCTATCAAACATTGGGCTTTTCCATTTTGTTTTACCAGGATTTTTTAGAGCCGTTCGACAGGAACCAGTCCACTTTGGAAGAATAGGAGCTGAGACACATACTAATTATGTTCATTGGTATGAGTGTGGAACTACAATACCTGGGAAATGGTAGTGAGGAAACAGATGAACTGTACAGCAAAAGATTGGATACAGCTATGATTGTCCCAGAGAAAATCAGAAATGGAAATGTGTCATGGTATTATCTTTGTCAAGCTAAAGTCTAATGACAATAACTGTTTCAACTGTACTGTTGGCTGATTTAAAGTTGTCCAGATTTACAGATCTTTTGTGGGAAGAGTTAGAAGATGTTATAAAAGGATGTCTTGGGAAGCTGGCTCCCTATTGGTTTTTTATGGTACCATCAACATATTTTAAAAGATGTAGTTTATTATTTATCAGTGTTGCAACATTTTGAGGCACCTTTATTGAAAAGTTGGTAAGGAACAAGTATGTATTCTGAGCTTTACTGGAGTTCATGTTCTTGTTCATCTTTCAAACACATTTAAATTATTCAGTCAGGTTAAGTCCTGAATTATGTTTATGCTACTTCATATGTACATTTCTGAAAATATACAGTTCTACAGCTGATGGTGCTATATGTAGGTTTGTACTCAGATAGTCTGTAAAACTATGCCAGTGAACCACACAACTGACACCATACTTGCAACCATTCTACCATGTAGATGTGTGGTGAAATACTCGTCATCCGTATTAACTCAGCATGTTAATTAGGACATCATAAATGAGGAAACAATAATGTCTCATTAAGAATAGCTCTTTAGTACAAAAGTCCTGCATGACTGGAGTTAACTGTTAAAGGGCTTGTACAGATATTTTCTTGTGGCATTTACTTTTGCTATAAATGGAAGCTATACATCATTGTAGATGCTCTCTACAGAAATTTAATTTTTGCTTTGGTACAAAGGTTAAGGGCAATAATTTGCTGCAGCAAACGAAACAGATCATTACATGTATAACCTTAAAACAATCCTGTAAACAACACAAAACCACTTGGCAAAATTCTGGATGTTCCAGCAAAGATCACCAAGTATAACGTATACATGTATTAATGTCTCTTATGAAAGGCATGTTTCACCTACAGCCTTTTCCTTTAAAATAAACCTATGTAGAGACTTGTTTATTGTTTCCAAAGAAAAGTTCCTTCAAAATAAGTGCATGTCCACACATAATTAGCACACTATATCTAAGCAGCAGCCAATGATGTCACATCAATAAACGTTTGATGTCATGCCTATGGCTAGTACAAGAAACAACTCATTCATTCCCATCAATAAATAAGATTGACACGTACCTTTGAAAATGATCATGCAGCTTTGTCTAAGACAAGTGTTTGATTAATGCAGAAGATAGTAAAATAATGTGTAGAATGAATTACGTCCAGAACATACAAAGCGGCTACACATTGGTTGTATTTTTTTAAATGATACCTTTTTCTATATATAAAATGGAAGAGTAATGTGATCCGCTTTGTAGAATGGCAAAATGAAGACTGTTGTTGAAAATGGATATCCTTCTCCCTCTACACCAAGTGCTATATTTGTATTGCTTAAACATGTAAACATTATATATAAAGAGATGTAGGTTTTAAAGGTGTTTATTCAATGTAAGAAAATATAAAGAAGGAATACAAGGAATATTTGGGTTGGTGGATTGTAAAAAAATCTTCTAAGTACATTGCAGGTACACTGTACTCTTAATAAATTTTTTAATCATAATTAGTGTTTGGCTCATTTCTATGCAGGAAACACACACAATTGAAAGTTATTGTTTGAAATTTGTTAATACCTGAATCCTAAAAGAGAAACAATCCAATGATTGCTTGAAATACGTTGACAAGGTGTCTCACTAGATTCAGATAATAATTTTAACAGTATAAGGTGAGCATTAGGGCAATCTCCTGTTTGACTATTCCAGCATTAACTGTTGGAAAGATCAGATCATATAAAGATCTCAGACATTGCATTAAGATAACTGGCTCAATTTGTCATGCCAAAGTATCACACAAGGTGAACAGTTTCATTATAATTAGACTTTACACTTTAATCATTTGTGTTGTTCATTCAGGAACATGTACACTATGTGTTTCACATTTTGAAGGGGTAGAAAAATGAACAAAGCTATTTAGAAAAATGATGTATATATTTCTGATAAGCGGTGCATGCTCTTGTTACATCCCGATTAGATTACTGCAACGCACTCTATGTGGGGTTGCCTTTGAAGACTGTTCGGAAACTTCAATTAGTCCAGTGGGAGGCAGCCAGAGTACTCACCGGAGCGCCATACAGGGAGCATACCACCCCTCTGTTATGTCAGCTCCACTGGCTGCCGATCCAATTCCGAGCACAATTCAAAGTGCTGGTTTTGACCTACAAAACCCTATATGATTCCGCCCCAGCGTATCTGTCCGAATGGATCTCCCTCTACATCCCACCTCGGAGTTTAAGATCTTCTGGGGAGGCCCTGCTCTCAGCCCTGCCTCTATCACAAGTGAGATTGGTGGGGACAAGGAGCAGGGCCTTCTCGGTGGTGGCCCCTCACCTGTGGAATTCACTCCCTGAGGAAGTTAGATCAGTGACATTCCTCCTTTCCTTTAGAAGGAAATTAAAGACATGGATTTGGAACCAGGCGTTTGGGCAACCTAGCAGATAAATAAAGGACTACGACAACTGATAGGAATAGACAATGTAGAATGAAGTATGGACTCTGAATTGTCGAACGTGGAGCATGAGACTGGTTTACTGACTGTGATATATATTGATTGTTTTTAACTGTTATAACTGTTTAATTGCTGTTTTTATACATTTATCTGTATTATTATGTAGGCATCAAATTGTGCCTTTTTTTGTAAGCCGCCCTGAGTCCCCCCTCGGGGGTTGAGAAGGGCGGGGTAGAAGTACACGAAATAAATAAACAATAAATAAATAAGTACATAAATGAGAGGGCCTTAGCATTGCAGGCTAAACCACTGTGCTGCAGAAAAATCCTGCTCATCGGAAGGTCAACAGTTTGAGCCCGGTCAGGATTGAGCACCTGCCATTAGCCCCAGCTCACCTGCCCACCTAGCAGGTCGAAAGGAGAAATGCAAGTAGATAAAAATAAATACTGCTTTTAGCGGGGAGGTAATAAAGGACATCGATCGGAGGAAAGTTCCTCGGCATGGAAGATGGAGCAACAACACCCCCTCGTGGCCAGTCAAGCACAGCCTCCAAGATGCTAGAAATAATATGCGGAAAACTTCCCTTACATCTGTTGTCTGTTTTTTGTTATTGTATAATCTGCATTGAATGTTTGCCATATGTATGTTTCTGTAAAGCCACTCTGAGCCCCCGTTAGGGTGAGAAGGGTGGGGTATAAATACTGTAAATAAATAAATAATAAATAGTCATGTTCTAGGATCAGAGGCGGACTACTGGACTGAACTTAGCACTAATTAAGAGGCAACAAGATCATAAAACACTGTGGATAGCAGCTTCTGTCTCAGAAAGGGGTGGAGCTCCTACATACACAAGCCAACTTCCCCAAGGTAGGTGCAAGAGAAGCCCATGGCTCTTTGTTTGCTCACATTCACTGATACACTCTATGTGGTAAAGTTTTCAGGACTTTTATTTATACTGACCATTCATATGAAAATAGTGGTGTGCCTCATATACTGATTGGTCATACGGTAACTAAATTACAATTTGGTAAACTTGCCTAGTACTAAAGGTGTGTCAGAAACATACTGCTTGTTTCATTGTATTTATATTTTTCTTTTATAGTCTGAAAGCTAACATTTCATGCAAATATAGGCAGGTTCCAAATGGTGGTGCTTGGGTATAGCGGCTCCAAATAAAAGGAGGTGTAATACGGCATCCCAAAGGGTGCCATTCTATCCCCAATGCTTTTCAGGATTTACATTAAACCACTGGGAGAGATAATCTGGAGGGATGGGATGGGGTGCTATCAATACGCTAACAACACCCAAATATATTTCTCCATCCTTCCAAAACAGCTCTAGCTAAGGATAGCCTGCCTCCTCTGATTGCTTAAATGAGGTAATGGGCTGGATGAGGAGAAACAAACTGAAAGTGAATCCAGACAAAACAGGTACTTGCCATCAAGAATCCTAATCTGGGACTAGAGGTGTCTCAACCAGTTCTGGACAGGGTTACACTACCGCAGAAAAACTGTGCCTGCACCCTGAGGATCTTTTCATCGGCCGTCCCAAGACTGTGGAACGACCTGCCAGAAGAGGTCAGACATGAGTTGTCATATTTCAAAATACATCTGAAGACTTATCTCTTCCAGCGGGCCTACCCTGCCAGTTTTAATAACGAATTTTAAACTCATGTATTTTAATAATTGTGCTATTTTAATATATGTAATTTATAGAAATACATATTACATTTTATATAGTGATTATGTATTTTTAGCTATGTTGTAACCCGCCTCGAGCCACAAGGGGGGGTAAGAAATAAAATTATTATTATTATTATTATTATTATTATTATTATTATTATTATTATTATTTAGCTAGTCCATTGAGCATCTGCACAAAGTTCACAGAAATTTCACTCCACTATATTGTTTTCCGTGGTCCCATTTTGACACATGTATTAAGACCTCTCTCAGCAGCTAGTTCCAAGATTCCCCTGAATGCTTAAAAGGACAGGTGGAATGTATTTTGCGGTTTAATATAGAAATCTTTCCTTCTTTCTCTTTCTCTCCCAGATCAGTGCTGTACACTATCATCACTGTACAATCTTTCACTTCTAGAATTATACCAAGAAAGAAGGGTGAAAACAAATCCTGGTGTGATTTCTGTGCATGCATAGGAAAACACTGGGCTCCAAATGATCAATTTTAAAAACATGTTGCTCCCGTCCCATTTAGAAATGACCATATGTTTTGCCATGTTAAAAGAACATCTCAAGCTGTATGAATACTGCCAGTTAAAAATTAAAAGATGTATAGATAAGATAATCCCATCAGTCCAAACAGCCTTTTCCAGTTCCAGGGGTGCCACAGCACTTGCATACACGAGAGTATCCTCTTCATTCCCATTAAGCAGAATGGTGATGCCTGTGGAAATTACATATATATGAAGGAAAGTCTGCAGGTGTTGGATTAGATCAGACCAACTGAATTACACAAATGCTTAACATAAATTCTCATAATTGCCTATTTGTCCTAAACATGACATTCTGGACTGCTCATGGTGCTGATATACCCTAAATGAACGTATTTGTTAAATTGCCATTTTTTTGGTGATACTGTTATGGGGATTGCTGAGAGTCATCCACTCACACATTAGAAGAATGTGCATATGGGAACAGTATGTGTCTTTGGGTTGTTGTAGGTTTTTTGGGGCTATATGGCCATGTATCTTATATAAAGATTTGGTTCAAACAAGTCACTGTATGTGGTATTATATATTATACACACAGATCAAAAATGCAACAATGAAATGATGATTTGAATGTTTTATTCAATTTCTGTGTGCATGTTACAATTTATACATTATAGTTTTTAACAAGTGGATCTAATTTAGTACATCATTTTATTAGTAAAAACAAGCCAGATAAGTCGGCTAGATTTTCACCTAGCAGTTTAATAGGGCAAGCTAGAATGTCATTACTTTACAAACATTTAGGTAGTGTCTCCAGAGAACCAATATTAAACTAGAAAGCCAATACAATTTAAAGCAGGAAACAAGATTTGTTTGGTCATCTATTCCAGCAAATTAAACAGCAACAGCGATACCATACAAATATTCTGCCTTTCATTAGTTTTTGTATTTCATTTTAAGAACCTTGGAGTCTGTATGGATGGAATAGCATCAGCAGCTGCTTAGATTTATCTGGGGCCTTTCAACAGCACACAATTTGTTTATCGGTAGCCAGGACCTGGCTGGGTGTAGCCCTGGCCAAAGGGAGGGCGGTTGCGAGCATAAGGATTAGGGCCGCTCGGAGGGGGGGTCATTGTTGTCCCAGGCGGGGGAGTGAAGCCTGGTCGGGGCTGATAAGCACCTGGCTGGGTCGGAGCCATTCCAGGTTGTGAGGCTGGGGACACATTATAACTGGCTGACTGGGAGGCTTGTGTGGTGTAGTTCTGTGCAGGATAGGTGCCGGCCTGGTACTGCTGAGGAGGCTGAGAGGGCAACTGCTGACCCTGGCCGGCAAAGCCAGGAGCCGGAGCCTGGGAAGCCTGCTGACTATAGGCCGGGAACTGCTGCTGTGCTTGTTGAGGCGCAGTCTGTGGGTTGTAGCCTGCTGAAAAATGCAAACAAACAGAAACATGTTTAAGTGAAAGCAGAAAGTTGCTTTACACACATACTAATCCAGACCTGCACAACATGGCAGTTGTAAAGGGTCAATATTGTTTTTTTAAAAAAAAACTTCTGGGGACCTCTCTTCCTCCCTGTCTCTGTGCTTATGATTGGCTGGAACTCATCACGTTTGCCCCACTCCCTCTTTGGTGGTGACAAAGTGGCTGAGCTTCTCCTTGCTGACTCCTTTCCTTCTGCATTCCTAATAAGGCAGGCAGGGAAAGGGCCAACCAGGGGAGGAGGACCCCAGCCCCCTTGCCAGCCTCGCACTATTCCCATGGTCGGCCCTTCCTTTGCCTGCCTTTTGCTGGCCGAAGGAAAGTTCTTTACAGGCCATATCCAGCCTGCAGAACAGATGTTGTGCAGGTCTGTACTAGCCTATCTTTTGACTTGTAAGAATGTATAGGC